GTTTCTGGTAGTACTGCTGGTTCACTCTTTCCTTTGATAAATTGCTTGAGTTTGCTGTGTCACAATTTCAATGACTATAAAATGGGGCCAGTGTCAGCTTACATAGCTAAGAGGTGATTTTTAAGGTTTTAATTAATCTTCAAGAATTTTAACTTACCTTGATGAAAGTTAATTCAGTGCATCTTGTGTCTAGTCCTGTTTACTGTATGCTGGAAAAATTGTATTTAGATGTGGATTAAAAGAGTTTCATGTAGTTAATCCAGCAAAATGAGCTATATACAAATGGAGTTACCTCAGAAATGTCTAAACTGTACCCTGGAAAACCAAGAGAAGTTTTGAAATGCGTTCAGAGTGCAGGATAACATGTGCTCTGCATTGGGAACAGATGCTGGCTCCATTTCAGCTTTAAACTAGGGCATTCCAAATGTCACAGCGAGCCAGCGCTGAGGGACCTGGCCCTGCAAAGAGCCAGCTTGATATAAATGAGTGTTCATTTGATAAATAGGGTCTATTACTGAATTAGGGTTGTCTTTTAACATCTTTTAACATCTCATCTCACCGTGTTGGTGCTGCTTTGGATCAAAGTTTAGTTAAATTTTTGTGGAGTACAGCGTGCTTTAAAGCTAAACCTTCATCATGAAATGATCTTCTTCTCCTTCTTCAATGGGAAATTCTGGAGTGCAGTTTTAAATACATGAAGGTTTTGCATGCTCAAAGCATTTAACTTGTCAGCTGTCATCAGTTCTGAAGCAGCTTTGCCTAAGTTGCTTACAAAAGAAAAGTTGGCGTCTCTCTGCCAAAACAGGCACGTAGAAAGCACCTGATCAGCAATTCCTAAACTGGGGATTGTGACCTAAATGGTGTAAGGACTGTGAGTGGGGAGTACAAGGGATGCTGTTGTATTTTTATATTGCTCCCTGAAGTGAGATGAGAGCTCTGTAAATGTGCCCAGACCCCCAGGTTGGCGAATTCTCTTGGTGGGAGTTGCAAGGCAGAATTTGGCTTCACCTTGCGCACAGTGGATGTTTTGAAGAAATAAAGTTACAAAGAAATAGCTGCAACTTCTCTTTTACTTGCTCTCCCATATTTAAATTTGTATTATGAACACCTCAAGGTGGGGCTTCTTTCATACACAGAATGGTCCCTGAGTCTCCAGCTTAATATAAACTAAAAATTTTATTGATCGCTGCACTGAGTGTTTCACTGTACCTTGAGGCTTCTGTAGTGCGTAGTGTTTGGTGAGGATGGATGGATGGCTAAAACCTGAAAATATTATTGATGGTTGTACTGAGAGTGGCACTAAACCTTGAGGCTTCACTTGATGCATAACCAGGGAAAATGGTGGGCTTGATAGCTTTCCAAATTTCAGCAATGTAAACACTTCACAGGGAGGTCATCACAGCCATTTGAAATTTAACAGAGCTTTTTTTTGTTTTGCTTTATCGTGTATTTGTTGATAAATTCACCTTAGCAGTTTTGAAACAAAGCCCATATGTGTTCCACTGTCCAGTGAGATAATCTTGGTGATGACAGCTTGATCACTTGATCTGTGTCCCAGGCCTTATTTGAATATAGGAAGCAATATATTGATCACCCTCACAGAATTAAATTATTGCCTTTCTAGAGGTACTATGTAGTTCAGGAGAAAAAGAAATCGTTTCTGGCTTGAGAGCCTGTACTCAGTATTGGGGTGGGAAAAATCTAAACATGACAGTGGTCTTAATGCTGATATTGTAAGAGAAAAGAACTTTTGGGGTTTTGTTAAAAGCTTGGGTTTTGTCCATCAGCAGGAGGGCTGCCTTTGTAGGAAGGTGGAGGGAACAGGCAGCCTTTGGATTAGCTGAATGGAATTAGGGATTGTGAAGATTTCGTCACTTGGGAGAGCAGAGCCCTTGACATGGAGAATCTGACTGTTAGGAAGTCCAGCAATGAGAGCTGAGATGCTGAAGAGTAAATACAAAACAAACCAAGGGGTATTGTTTCTTTTTTTTTTTTTTTATGTCATAGCAATGGATCAGTGACAAACATATTCAAGTGACAAATTCTAATGCTTACTGCTGAGCATTTTTTTCAAACCAAGTGAACCTGTGGGAGTCATTGCTGAAGTACGAGGAACACAGATTCACTGACTTTTCTCAGCTTGCAAAAGCAGAGGCAATGTTTTCTTCAGATCAGTTTATTCATGTAGTTCAGGTTTTTATTTTAGAGTAAAAGCACAGCTTAGAATCTGGTGGTTCTAGTTTTGAATGATCAGATAAACTACAAGCAATCGTTTCAGTTGTCTTACTGCATTTAGTACTTAATCAAATAAGAGGGGGTTTGGAGGCAAAGCATTTTAATTGCTTTCTCCCTCACCCCTTTTTTCCTTTAGGGAATATAGAAACTATTTAAGGTGTAATTTTGTTTGTATTTAATTCCTTTCCCAAATATTTAGATAAAAAATAATGAAAGGATAAATAACTAAACACATATATAACAAACCATTTATGCAAACCTAACAAATTTTTTAATCTTTTAAAATGGCCAAGTGTTGAGTATATGAGGCACCTTATGTCTGCATTTCAGGTTTACTGGAATTTGTATGCATACTGTGTTCTTATTAAGACCAAAAAAATCCTAATCTAACAACGAGTTGTTCGTATCTTCTTTTGTCAAAAGATTTCTGTAAGGAAATAAAAATGGAAACTGAGATTTGAACACAGTTACTGTTTCTTACTTGCTGGTTTAAGCGATTTGCTTTGAAACCAGAGCATACAGGAAGGAGAAAAATCTGTTGCTCTGTTTGTTTTTAAAAATTAGTTTGAATCATCTTTGGTGTGTGTGAACAGAGGATTCTCAACAAGCACCTGCCTGTTGCTCTGCAGACATCACCTCATTCCAGATGTGTTTTATGCACGTGGTGCAATGCCCAACAATCATCCACTGCTATCAGATTTTTGTGTTCTTCAGTGAAAGTGATGGGTCTGGCAAGCACTGTATTTTTGTGTTGGCCTATGGAGTTGTAAATTCTTAATGAAGTTATCCTATTGGAGATGGTGTATTAGTGCTCTGTATTTTGCATTACAGGAACACCCCAGAAGCAAATTTTAAAATTTCTGTTATGCAAAGTATACCTGCATACCCAAGCATGCAGCAGGTGATATTTCCCACCTCAGCATTCACATTTACTTACAAGCAATTGAAGAAATAAAATTAACCTGAAAGTAGAAACCTTCATTGAAAACACAGAAATAATTTGATCTGAAAAAATAATAGGATTTCACTGAAAGGTACAATAAACTAACCATTAAGAATCTGTGGTCAAAGACTGTTCCTGAAGGGGAGAAAAATGGGTAAAAAGTGGTAAAGAAAGCATAGTGAGCTGGTAGATGTGTATTCCTAATCAAAGAACACATACATTCTTGCTAGAAGAGCATGGTGTATAAGATGTCATTATTTTAATCTTCCTCTAATTATGGTTATTCCTTGTTAACAGAAGTTGTAGCAGCTGAGATGTCACAACTTCTATGTTTATAAAATGGGACATAAGAGAAGTCTGGCTTTCAGTTTTTTAAAGCTGCCTCAGGTGTGTTTTAAGTGCAAGCACTTTATAACCATTTCATCCACTAAGTATCTCCTCTTGAAGCAGAAAAAAATACTTGGCTGAAATATGATCTTCATCTAATGTGGTACTTGAGCTGTGTTATGAGCAATTTTGAATTTTGGAGATGGCTTCTAGTTCCAGTGAAACCAAGGTATCTAACCCAGACCTTTTGATGGGAGGGAAAGCTGTATGAACATTGGATGGGGTGCGAGTGTAGCTGCAGGAGTTGGTGCTGCTGGAAGGGTGTCCTGATCTTTGAGGAGGGAGTGGGGCAGGGATGCTCAGTGCCTGCTTCCAGACAGGTGGTTGTGAGGGACCAGGTGTGGATATCAGGTGTTCTTTTTCAGGGCTGGAGACTATATGGGAGAAATAAAAAGCATTCAGAGGTAATAAGTGGAGAGAAGAGAAACTACTTTTCCAAATATGTGCTGCAGTGCCAGAGGCAACACTGAGTTCTGACATGGTTCTGCCTCGAGCTGAACCCCAAAGCAAGTTCAGAAATGTAGGATTTTTCAGATGTGGATTCTGTTGCTGTTCTTTTCGTGATTCTTGAATTCTTGAAGGTTAATTTTATTGAATTTCACAGTTACATATTTGGAAACAGTGCAGCCTGGCAAAGGCCTACAGTCTGATGCTCTTACCTGGAATTTTGTTCTGAAAGATGTGCTAACACAGAATAAAGAAAGGGGTAATGGTCCTTGAGTTTAAGGGCTTTTGGGATTGAAGTTAAAAATATTGGGTTTATCAGGATTTTTCTTTTCTGAAAGTGCTTTCTGGGGCATATTAGGTTCAGTATAACTGCAGAGTTGGAGCCATGTGTTTAAACATCTACTTCAGGAAACGACCACATTTTTGTCAATGTACTTTGTTTTTCCCTCTTCATGTGTTTAGTGCAGTAGTGTTTTTGAGTGCAGTGGTAAATCAGTTTGTATATGGGGTATAAGGACATGAAAGTTCCTGGAGCTTTGTCTTCATGTGCACTTATAGATTTCATCTTTATTCTTAATTTCTTCCTTTCACATAATTTTTATGAAATGGAATGTTACTGGTCTTAAATATTAGTTTTTCAAATGCAAGGGTTGTACTGCTTGAACTGTGTTATACTTGCTCCCTCTCAGCTGAGTGAACCAAATAACCACAGGATTAATTTCTGTTTTCTTGCTATTACTTTTAGAGGGAGCATCAGCCTGTGAAACGTTCATTTTGCCATTTCTGCACTCTTATGAAAGGTGGTGGAAGAACCAGCAAATGTCATGCTTGTCTTAGGATTTGTAAAATGACAACCATATAAATTGTTTCAAGATTTAAATTTATATTCTGTTTCTTTACTGTTTAGGTTTTTACCTGTGAATGGTCATTACAGGCTCATATCTACTTCAGGTTTTAAAAATTACATCATTGATATTTTTCTTCACAGGGAGAAGAGAATTTATCCAAAGATTAAAACTTGAAGCAACCTTGAATGTTCATGATGGATGTGTAAGTCACTTGTTGCTTTTTTGTTTATTAAAAATTGTTAAATTGTGATTTTTGTTGCCATAGTAATAGTCCCTCAACTTAAAAAGGGACATATCTTATATTTGTATATTAAAACTGAGCTGGACCACTCTGTCTGTTGAGATCTACATCTGAATTCTCTAGCTATTTGTTTCTTCTTGAATATCTGACACTTTTACCTTTGAAGCAAAACAGAATCCCATTCCTGTGTCTTGATGCTGTGTCTACTGCTGATTGAATTAATCTCTCCTGCCATTTAAACACATTCCTACCTTTTCAGTTAGGACTCATCTTAAATCTTGAAATGAAGTCTTTTTTTTTTAAAGCTTTATTAGTGTTTTGAGTGATTTATTTTCCAATTTCAAAAAGCAGATCAAGTGCTACATGACATACAGACAATGAAAACAAAAATAAGCCTTCCTGAAAGGCAGTAACATAACTTGAAATATTCGTTATTTAAATATCAATTTTTGAAAGGGGTCCAAATATTTTAAAACATATCTTTTTAAATGAAAGCCTTTACCTAAACTAGTTTCAGGGCAAGAGGCTGCCATGTTACCTTTGAGGAATAGAGCAGAAATTCAAGGTTGTTAAAGTATTTGATGTACAAGATTTGGGAAAAATGAAGGTATTCCATAAAAAAATGAAAATGTAAGTGCAGCTTTCATGCTTTACCATATGTAATTCTAAAGCTGTTCAAACATAAGGATGATTTTATTTTAGCTTGAGTTGCTTGGACTTTTAATTAAGGAGTGATATGATTGTTAACTAACACACTAGTAGTTTTATTGAACAAGTGTTGTTAACATCCAGCCTTCTTGAGATCAGAAGTGTGATTTTGATGTGCCTGTGTTTTTGTGGGCATGGAAAGTCTGGGAAAGACCAGGATTAGAATTGCTATGTATAAAATTTGAGCTACTTTTCCTGTGCTGACTACATTATAAGTTTAATGTTCTGGTACAGATAGTGTTGGTGTAATGAAACACTTATATACATTGCTCATTTTTTTCAAGAAATGTTGCAAGAATGATGATGTAGGTCTCTTCCAACCCAAACAATTATATAATTCTATGTGTATTTATTAATTTTTGTATTCGAGATTGTAACAGTGATACTTTACTCCTGAATTTCTTCTCTAAGTAATTTTTCATCTCTTCAAATACTGAAGATCAAAATTTTCAAGTTTCTTTTCCTGATTAGGGCTTTTTATTTCTTTTTCCTTTATTTCCTTGTATAAAAGTGATTTTTTTCCCCTATTAAAACAGAATATTGGAAAACAGTATTTGTTCACTACTTGTTAAAAATTAAGTGACTGATCTCTATTTCAATTATCTGCCTCTGTGTCATGTAATAGAAATTGCAGATTTGATGTTGGCTGTTGGTGTTGCTTGAATATACTGATGGATATGTATTTGAAAACTAATTTTGATTTGTGTTAGCTTTGAAAGTATGCTTCAACATATGGCCTAATTGTTCTAGTGGGTGGAAAATGCTTAAATTGCCAAGTTTAGATTGTAAACTTGCAGCATTATTTGCAGGTGTTTAAAATACTACAGTATTTAAATACAGTATTGAAATACTATGGTTTGAAAAAATGTCTTTAGAAGTTAATTTGCTCAGAACTCTCCACCTTTAAGGAATGGGCTATTGGGAGTTCTTACCTCATTTACTGTGTGGTCTTTTGCAAGGAATAATCTTCTAGGACTAACAAGCACTCACTATAATTTCTTACTATTTGTTTTTTAAAAAAATCTGTGAAATAGAAATCAATGAAATTACAATGCATGTACTGATTAAACTTCTTATTACCATCAATGGTAATTAGGCTCTTTTTTTTTTCTTTTCTTCTTCCCACAACTGCTAATCAGCATGCATTTCAAATGTGGGGGATGAAAGCTGTATTGTCTATTAAAAGGTGTTTCTGGGTTTTTGGTTTGGTTTTTGGGTGGTTGGGTTTTTTAAATGAAGGTTGGATGGCAGGGATTTGGGGTTTTCTTTGTTTGCTGTTTGGTTAATTGGTGTTTTTAAGAACTTGTTCATTGTTCTGTTGAATAAGTTGTGACTTATATTTTCTATATAAAGCGTGCTGTGTAATTGGACACGGTGGACAACTTACTTAAGGCAAGACATTTTTTTACTAATTGAGGATAAAAGTAAAGTCCAAGTTCTTACCTGTTACACAGAAGAGAGATCCTGTGGGAGATACACCTGTGTGTATAATCATACCCAGGCAGGATATCTGTGAAGAAGGGAATATTCCATGAATTCCTTCACATATCCATGCTTTTGTAACAGTAATATTACCATGCACCTTTTTGTTTAAAATCTGAGTATTTTCACCTCAGAGTTCAGGGGCAATTCTCTTTGAAACAGTCCCATTTTCCCCTTGGTTTGAAGACACAGTTTCTAGCAGTAGTGTGTGAAGTAATTGAATTGGTTCTGCAGAATTATTGGTGTCTGGCAGTAGCCTTATCATCCTGCCAGGGCAGGATTTGCTTCTCTCAACAAGGTTCACATGGTCAAATTCAGTAAGATCATTTGTATGCCAGAACTTGCCATTTTCTGTGTTAGCTGTAAAGGGAGCTTAAGAAGATGAGGAAATGTACAGAGTTAGGTGAGCTGTTCTGTATAAAGTGATTAAATCCAAGGGAGAAATGTTGAAAGAGAAGCAATCTGGACAGGCAGCGATGAAGTGTAAGGAAAATAGAGGATAAAGAAACTCTAAACCATATTGAATTGCAGTAAAAATACAGCTTATTTTCTTCCAGTTTTGGTCCTGTGAAAGCTGAGGAAGGTTGAAATGCAGGATGTAGCTGAAGCATTTGACATGAGTAATACTACATTGTGAAATAAAGAGTATTACCTGAAGGACTAACTTCTCATTTCTATGTAGGCATTCAGATCAATAGCAAAAACAAACCAGCAACCTTCATGGCATTAATCTCCTTCAGGATGGCACTTAGGAACAAGTCCTTTTTTGATGCAGTCCTCAAAGCCAGGCTTAAACCAGTACAGGAAATTTGTTTTCTGTTAGAAACACGGTTTTCACCTTGTACTCCACAGATGAAAAGCAATGCCTTTTTCACCCCCTTCTTTGCTTGGGGGATATTCCTGATATTCTGGATATCTACAGACATTTTTATTTCTTTTCTTCTATTTTTGTACCCTGTTAATCTCTTCTGTTCACAAAAGAGTTGATTCTGATGTCACTTTACATGGAAGTGAGGAGTTTGCTTTTTCAGTTTTCTAAGGATTGGCTGCACTGCCTCCTGCATTGTCTTTGAGGAACACAGAGATAGTAAATTTATATCTAGCTAATTGACTAATAAATCACAAGTGCCTGCTGACTCCTTGCAGGGCTAGATGAGTGACAAATAAAGCTAGATGCAATTAATAATGTGGAGTACTTAATAGAAAAAAGCTAATTACACAGCCTTTGACTTTTTTTACCTTGCTAGTAATTGTCTGTCATTTGTGTTTGATGTATCCTTTCTTCTGGCTCCAACACCCTTTCCCAAGGTTTCTAAACCCTCAGAATAGGAACTGTTACATTATGCTTTTAGTTGGGTGTTGAGTGGCAGTGCAGGTAGTACATCATGTAGCTTTTTCAAAATAAAAACCAATTTTCTAACCAGTTCTTGTTTAACATTATATTTTTGTAGTGGGTTTACTACCATAGAATGAGACGAGAACTCTTTTTTATTTCTGGTTTGGTTCTTTTTTCTTTTTTTTTTTTTTTAGCATTTGTCTTTAGTGATCCATATGCAAATTTATTTGGGTTATTTGGTGTTGGTCAGAGGTTGTACTGAACACGGTGTGTATTGACTGGAAAGTCTCTGGAAAAAACCAAAACAAGTTTATTTCACTGGAAAACTTTGTTACTTTTGGAGTCTTTGTTGTCAGCAATGCTGAGAAGGTGATTGGGTACAGAATAAAAAAGCCTGTTTAGTTACAGACCTCTAGTACACGTTTGGTTATGTCATTCTTCTTCAGGATTATTTTTGAACCAGCTTTGGTCTGGGTAGGGTATATTGAAATTGCTCAACTGAGGCAATTATTGCAATGAAATTGGAATTTTGGAGGAGAATGATTGATGTCTTGTGTAGACTTGTGATGCTGCAATTTAGATAATCTTGCCTTCCTTTTGCATTTTCAATGTTTCTCTGCTTTGCTGTTCTTCAGATTTTGGGTTTGTACATTAATATACATATCCACCCCCTCAATTTGTTTAATTTTTTGTGCTAAGTTTTTTTCTCATATCATGATTTTAAATTTTTCAGTGGCTTTCTTGTTTTATCAGTGTTTTGTTCTTGTTTCTATTCCTGTATTCTTATATTAGCATTTTAGTTTCTTTAAGGCAATGATAATAATATTTTTCTGCCTGAGAGGAAACACAGATGAAAATAAACATTGCTGGGTTGTATGTTTGCCCTCACTGTAGTGCTGTGCCATGTTTGATAACATTTTAGAGTACAGCCATTGTTAGGACAGGTTATTTCAATGATAGATGGTTCTGGGGGCTAGATGAAATTTTGGCTCTTGGTGATTGACAGCCAGATTTATAAAATCATAAGAGTAGCCATGCAAGGTCATACCAAAGCTCAGTGGGCCTGAAAACTTGGCCCTGAAGGTGGCCAGCACAAGTTTTTGAAGGAAGTCGAGACAGGACAAGCAGACAGCATTTGATGGGTGCTCTGCTTTAATGGGCAGGTGGAGGTGGAAGCTGCATCTTTGTTTCTGATCATTTTTCGTTTCTCTTTGATGAATATGTATATCCTTCCACTTCTGGTGTCTAGGATTTTCATAACAATGATTTCCAGTTTCATTAAAAAGCCATTTGTCATCTGATTGTTTTGTTTAAGGCCTTCCATTTCCTATACTGTGAATATCCACAGAAAATAATTTTTTACTTTTTTCCATGTCATTCATGTTCTCATAAGCTTCCATTGTTTCCCTTCCCTAGAGCAGTACAAATTATTTGCTTCTTGCAATAAAGTGTTAGGTATCTGTGAGCACCTCAGTAATTCCTTGTCATAATTTCTCTTTCCAAATGGGCAGTAATAGAAATGGAGAATACGGGAGCGGGATACGAACCCAAACTGCGTAGTGTGGAAGACGTGGGATTGCCATGCATGGATGTATACCCTGCTCTTCTGTGCATTTCCTAATAAATCCTAACAGTATTTGACTGCTGCTGAGCACTGAGCTAACCCTGGCATAGGCATGTTTGTTCAACACCAAGATCTCTCCTCAAATTCCTCCACCTGACAATATCAAGGTGGTGTTGTCCCTGTGATCCACCTGAAACTGCTAACTCTGATTTTGCAACTAACCCCAACTAAACTTGACATTAAAACAGTAACTAGAATGGGTGTATTTGTTTTAAACAAAATTTATTTTTGTTTGAGGGGGACTCAGAGTGAAACATTTGAATTAACCAAAAAAAAATTAAAAAAGGCTTAAGAAAATAATTTAGAACTAAATGGATATGGATTTTTTACCAATTCTGTAATCCAGTCTGGTACATCACACTAAGGCAGCTGTTCTGCCAACAGAATCTAGCCAGCAGAAAATGGTGGTGGCTGCAGTTTGGCACTTGAAGGTATTTTAGAGGCTTACTTGAAATAATAATGGTCTTGCATGCAGTCTTTTTGGTGCTTGTGCATGAGCTGCTGCTTGGGGGATACCTTTTGAGCTTCCTGGATTTTGAGTGCTTTCACAGCTTTGTTTCACTGACACATTATTAAGCACAGTCTTGTGAAAAGGAGAATTGATAAGGAAATATATTGTAAAGCTCTCCCAATACAATTCTGTACCTCACTGTAGGATTCTTCTTTCCCAGCATATTCACACTTTCAAAAGGGATCTGGGATGGATTCTGCAGTGCTTTTTCCCTGAGAAGGTGTAGTCACTGAAAAGTGTGCAAAGCAATGGATGGTCAGAATTTGGATGTGGTGAAGATACAATAATGAGAGCACTGTGATGCCCTCCAGTTCAAATTCAGAGAACTCTGTGTGGAGTAGATTTGGTACATTAAAGCACCTGAGTGTGTAAAATTGTGGCTACTGTGGGAAGCTTAATTTACCTAATGAACTCTTGAGGAGCAGAGGGAGTAATTGAGATGCCGTAGGTGAAGCAGGTGATTCCCTTATCAATTTGTTTTAAAAACACAATTTTTTTTAATGCTAGCTGCTTAGAAATTACATCATTTCAGTTGAATTTGTTAACTCCTATTTCTGTAGTGTCGGATGAGTATTGATGTTTTAATATGGTGAAAATTTAATTAATGTATGTCTAAACAATTTTTTTTTTAAATTCATGCAGGTGAACACAATTTGCTGGAATGATACAGGAGAATATATTTTATCTGGTTCAGATGACACCAACTTGGTCATTAGTAATCCCTACAGCAGGAAGGTAGGTTTGTTTCTGGCTGCTTGTTAATTTTCAAATAGGATGCAAGTTACTATTTTTCGGTGTATTAAAGCTATTTTTTAATATATCAGTTTTCAGATATTAATTATTATGTGACAGAGATAATATCATCCACTTCCTAGTGTATATAAATGGGAATAAAACTTCACAGTGCTTTAAAACCTGAGCATTCTAATCCTTTGCAACATTGGTATTATCCCATTTTACGGTACATGGCAGGGCACAAAGGGAACACGGTCTCACCACAGATTAGTGTCAGGACCAGCAATAGGATTCAGTAATTCTCATGAAATCTTGCAGTCAGATAAACTGTTTTCCTCTCACTTCAGTTTTAAAAGACTGTATTTTTTGCTCTGTGTAATGTACTGAGTTGTCTTTCTGTGTGATGTTGTTGGGGTGCCAGCCTTGATTAAAATAGTTCACTCCAATGTAAAATTACACTGCCCTATGTGTGCCTGCAGGAGGATGGAGAATAATTTGTACTGAAATAAGGGTTGCAATGCAGCTGAAAGACTCCCAGTAGTGCCAGCTGGCATCCATCAGGTAGTGGCACTGTCCTACACTTTTCTCTTGAAGGAACTGCTGATAGTTTGGTAGAACAGATGCTCTGAGCTGTGTCCTCTCAGGGGCTGAAAACTAAACCCTGAGGACATGCTCAAAAATTAAATGTGTGGGAGAAACAAAAGGTGTGGTTGTTATGGTGGAAGAGAGTTTGAGTAGAAAACAATATTTCACTTTCCTGAAGGGTTGTGGTGGATTGGAGTGTTGCCTATGACTAAGTAAGGCCATTTTGCCCACCTCTCCAAATAAGCCATAGCTTCCAAATTTTCATCTCTTCCTTTCAACTACTGGTGTCAGCCTGACAAAGTTCAGATCAGTATCACTAGATGGTGTTTCTCTTGGACTGTGAGTTCTGCTGGAAAAGTGGTATCCAAGACAGCTATGAAATGGATGATGGATATATGCCAAAATGAGTGTTGGTGGAGTGACTTGCAGAGTAAGAATTTTTCATACAAATAAAAGCTGTTCAATGTTATTTATTGTGCAGAGTTGATTTTAATATCTCACTGTGGGATAGTTGCTCATTATATAATTTTTACATTGAAATATTTTATTACTTTAAAAGGTACTGCAATTTAAGCTTTTTGCTTTCAGGGGACAATTTCCTCCACCTTGTTGTGTACTACTTCTCTGCTTAAGCCTAATGAGGAATATGGGAGATTTTTTTTTTCTTTTTTCTTTTTTACAGTTAGCTGAATTATTTATTTTTTCTAACAGCAGAGGAGAAGATTATTTTTAATTTTTTTTTCCAATACATGCAAATGCAATTATAAAACAGAAGGTACCAGCAAGAAGACTCAAGAATCAGTGTTATTCCTGCAATTGTACTAGAGATGTGATTTTTTAAATGAGTTTTACAGTTGTATTAGCTTATTTTCTCTGGCTTGAGTAAGAGAATCCATACAGAAAAAGGCTTCAAATTGGTATCAGAACTGTGCTGTAATTCTGTCACCTTGGCAAATATCCTTATCACCATATTTTCTGTTACTGTCTAGGTAGAGTAGCAAAAATAGATTTCAGCCATCAATATTTAGTATCTTTTAGAATATCCAGGTACACTGGTAAACTTTTTTAGAGGGAATTATTTAAAAGGTGTGAAATAGCACTTCTGAACTGTTAGGCATGAGCTGCTACTGAGAGAGAAACTTCATTTGCAAAACACATCCTTTGATTAAGTTAATTGAGTGGAAATTTGAAAGTAATTTTCCTACTGTAAACAACCTGGTAAGTATTTTTTTCCTAGTGGGAGTTGTGAAAATGCAGTTTGGCTCAAGTGCTGAAGATGAGGGAAATAAGAATATAATGTTCACTTATTCACAGGAAAGCATGTTGAGGTTTTTTCAGTTTTGGTAGATTAAGTATGTGATGAAGAATAAAGAGTCACCACAAAGTGTTTAAAATCAGCTGTGATGAAGTAAATAATATGTTTCTCTGCTTTCCTGTAGATGAATGAGAGACTAGGTCAAGTCCTGCATTATTGCCAAGTACAATCAAGTTCTTAAATGTTTATTTATTTTTGGCTAGTTTCAAAACATCCTTCCTTACAAACTTCAGCTCTCCTTTTCAGTGAGTTTAAGAGTAACATCAATTTTTAAAGTCTATGAAGTTGGCTTGGATTATAGTGCCTTATTCTTCTTGACTTACAATATCCCAGATCTTCGAAGTCTCTCTTCACTGATGTTCTTGGTGGCTGCACCATCACTGGTAAATGTTTCACTTTGAGAAACCTGATGTGAAAACAAAGGTGGCAGCTGCCTTCCAGCCCTCGTGTTTTGCAGACTGCTTCGTGCAAGTGCCTGAGCAAATCTCTCTTGTAGAACCACGTTGCTGTTAGAAGAAATTTGATATAAGGGCAGCTTCTCTGTTCTGTTGGATTGAACTGTAGGTCCCTGGCAGCCTGGGCATAGCTGGTATTTCACAGTCCTAGTTTTTTCCATTCTTTATTTGCTTGGAAAACACTGAACCTGCTTCAGAGCCTCCCTTTTTTCTTTGTTCTTTAGGTTCTCACAACGATTCGCTCAGGACACAGGGCCAATATTTTCAGTGCAAAATTCTTACCCTGCACCAATGACAAACAGATTGTTTCATGTTCTGGAGATGGAGTCATTTTCTACACGAATGTTGAACAGGATGCAGAGACCAACAGGCAATGCCAGTACACCTGCCACTATGGGACTACCTACGAGGTACCTCATGAAATAGATCATAGTTTTAAGATGGATAAAATATATATTTTAACTCAAGATTTTAACCAGACTCCTGAAAACTTTGTTTCAGTGCAGTAAGAGTTACAGAACTTTTCTTCTGTCTTTTTTGTATTGGTTTTTTTTTCCTTTTAAAAAGTAGGCTTGAACAGAGAAATGTGCTGTCTAAATTAAATGAAGAACTTTGCAAAAAGCGGTGCTGTTAACTTTGCAAATATGAATTCAGCTTCACTGAATGAATGTTCTGCAGAGCAAAACAGATTTAAATTGAGCTTTGAATTTCTTCCTGAAGTAGGTTGGGGGTGGGGGAAGTGACTGTTTTACTTTTTGAGTTCTTATTCTTCTCCCCCCACCCCTCCCTTCTTTTCTGAACTTTTCAGCAGTTTCATGACTTTTCACAATTTAGATCCTTCTAAGAAATGCTTAGTTCAGCATGTAGGAACAACTTAATCTGAAAAATATGTTTACAGTTGTTGGTAATTTTTCTGTTGTGTATTCTAGTTAACTCTTTAGGTGTAAATTTAGCCACAGTGTTTTCAGTCCTCCTTTGGAAGTTTTGTTCATATAAATTAGGCAAGTGAGGAAGCAAAGTGTTATTAAAGTTAGGAAGATTGTAAGGATTTATTGTTCTATCTGCTTCTTTTAAATAACAGCAAAAGCTGCTGCTTGCAAAAGTTACTGTGGTTAAAATAGGAAAAAAAATGTCAATCTTTTTCTTAGGTTATAAATGGTCCTGTTTCTTTCACTGTTTATTTGTTGGGACGTTTTTAACACTACAGCAGTACACACAGAGGGGAATAAATTCCAAGTGCATTGGTTTTTAATCTATTCGGCTCAGGTTTCATAGCAAGCTTTTAGATCACTTTCTTTGCATGTTAAGTGAACAAAATCTTTACAAATTTCTCATAAAGGAATTGGAGTGTGTGCAAAAAGAAAGTGGCTGAAATACTGCCAGAGTTAATTTTTGTTCATGTAGTAAAAGTGTCCTTATAGTTGTAATTACACCAATTACATTTCCTTGCTATATTGCACAGGCAAAGTGGTCTTATTTGAGATTTTTATTCAGCAATAATGTTAACAAGAGGGCATTATTGTTGTTTGGAATGACAGGAGTGTGATACAGTTTTGATTGGTTTTGCTGCTTTTAAACACTGTTAATGGAAGGAATATCAAAACCCTTATATGACATTGGCTGTTTTAACAGCTCTGTTTCTTTATGAAGTTATTTTTCTTATCCTGTTTTGCACTGAGGTTGAGAGGTTCCTGGAGTGGAGAGATAATTTCTAAATATTGTGATGTTACTGCTCAGCTGTATGTAACCACATCATCATGTTAAATATAGAACTTTGACTCACTGGATTCTCTAAATAACCAAAGCTAAAAGCTGCCCCTGAGGTACCAGTTCTAAATTTGAATGTGGTTTGGATTTATGCAGCTCTTGGAGTTTGTGGCAATTCAAGATGTTGCAAAAACATGAAACAGAGGGATGTGGAAGTTGATGTAGATTGTTGTAAACTGTGAGATAATTGTACAATTGTTTTTAGTTCTGAGTGAGAATAGAATAAGTAGAGGGAGAGGCTCTTGAGACACGTTTCTGAAGAACTTATTGTTTGTACAAGGCCTTGACAAGTTTGTTATTCCTCAGCCAAATCTTTTCTTTATTGTCCTTCATGTTAATTGCATTTCAGAAAGATAATGTACTTTTATGGGCACCTCTTAACTTCCTTGTTATGATCATATAGCTATACACTTTTGAAGTTAAGTAGCAAACAAGTTTTTAGTTAGTAAAAACCCAATTATATATATGTCTATATAAAATGTGTACTTGTTGAACTTAAATGTTGTAATATTGACTCAATTATTGGAGCTTGCACTCCTCCATTTCTCTGGTTTAGTGCTTATAAAGTACTTAGTATTTTGTGAATACTGCACATAAATGTTGCCATGTGTAAGTTATGTTACATGTATAGGGTGAAATAGCATCAATGTGAACAAAAAGAAAATACAGCTACTAGAAATAAGCTTGCCACATTCAGCAATGTTATTGGACCAAAATGTTTTCTCTGAAAGCTTTGCTAAATGCTGGAAGAATTTGGTGGATTGAAGAACAGTTGCTAGCTTTTATAACTACGCAAATAAAGTTAATTTGAACAAAATGTGTAGTGAAAACAGTCTTTTCAATATGTTATACTGATAGATTGAGGAATAGTGGTCATAGCTCAGAAGTTTATTGTTCTATTGGTATTCAAACCTTGGCTTTGTTCTGCAAATTAAACTTATTTGGCACAGCAAGCATTGTCTCAGTTTACTGTGCTGAGCCTTACAAGAGAGGCTGAAGCCTTCAGCTGTTAGCTTTGTAAACCCACTTCAGGTCAAGAGATTTGCAGATATCCATAAGTTACTTTTATTAAGAATTTTGGGACCTGGGGGTGATAAATCATCTCATTTAAAATGTTAAAGAATCACTCATGCTCTGCGTCCAATGAATGTGTTACACTATTAACCATTGTTGTTGCTTTATAAATTTCTACTGATAGTAGCAGGAGTGTAGGAAAAGAAGAATACTGCCACTAAATTCTCTTTTCTGTTTTAAGAAACAGAGTGCAAATAAACTGGCATCTCCTGTGCATTCATTGACCTGTGGAATTCAGGTCACATTTAACATTTTGGTCACTTGCCTTTTTATATTGTCATAAGGAGGCTTTGAGTGAAGCCATTCGTGTGAGTTGTCCCTAGCTGGAGAAGGGCTGAGCTTAGGAAAATGGTTCAGTACAGAGCTCTTTTTTTTAAAAAAAAAAACAACCAAAACCAAAAACCAATTGCAGTGAGGAGGTAGCTTGGTAACAGCCTTTAATGCAGGCCTGCTACAAGGAACTACCTAGGAGGTAAAGGAATAGCCCAGTGGGAATAAAATCCATTTAGTATTTTCAAGGTATTCAGACTTCTGAGGACTTCGTAATTGTCTCCTATTACTTGATAGAGAATAAACTGAGCTTTTGTTGAATTGTTGCTGCAAACTGAAAAGTGATTGCAATAAATGTATGTTGTGTATTAGAAGATAATAGAAATAACTGTAAGCCTTGACCTGTGGATATTTAATCTTACGTGACATTTAAAAGTTTACTTTGACTTCCAACAGTTCAAACCTTTTCTTGAAAATTAGGAAACCATCAGTTTTTCAATTTTTCTTATTACTTTCGCTGGAAAGCTTGATTTGAGTCCTAATTGCCTTCTGCTGCTCCAAAATATTGATGCTTTTATTTTTAAATTAGTGCTATTTCTGGGGGTATTAATAATCTTATTTTTTCTTTCTTTTGAGCAGATTATGACAGTACCAAATGATCCCTACACTTTCCTCTCCTGTGGTGAGGATGGCACCGTGAGATGGTTTGATACTCGTATCAAAACAAGTTGCACAAAGGAAGATTGTAAAGATGTAAGAATGAAACCTTTTAATAATAATAATAGTAAAATAAAATTGTAATAATAATATTTTCATAAAGATTACTTAAATATAGAGCTGTGCATTACACGAATACACGATATGTATTTTGGTAAAGCTTTTAGAAATAATGGCTTTCAGGGTCATTGGTGGGGTAACAGTAAATATATATTGTTTCCCAAGAAACAATAAAATCTGGGGAGTCTTTTTTATTTTTCTTTTTTAATTTTAATATCTCCTTTGGCATTTTTTATTTTATAAGCTTTAGTATGAGGCTTCAGATATGGTAGAAAAGATTGTTTGAAATTGAATCTCTTAGTCTGGTTTACACTAATAATGTAGAGTGCAAAATTGGAGGCAAAAAATGAGCCTTGAGAATCACCTGCAGCCTTGTGTTCTTGAGCATCCTTTGTCCCTCTGTAAGAAAAGATTTGGTAATGAATGATATTAGATTATTGGTATGAATAGTGTCCACTGTGTTGGAATCTTAGAAGCAATTTTAATACTGAATTTGAATAAAACTACTGAAGTATGTATTGCTAGTCTTGATTAATTTTGTTCAGCCTTGTGCACACGTACCAGTTCTAGAGGTTTCTTGCATTTTTTTTCCCCTCTACCCAGTTATCTGCCTATAGATGGAAACTATTCTGATCCTTTAATTGATTTAAACTGTTTCTGCATATTTAGTACTCTTCCACCTCCACAGTTACTGTGTTTCCATAAGAAAATGCAAGGTGCAAGTTAGTTTATAGATCTGTCGTTTTTATCTTATCTATTTTTAAATGTTTCTGTGTTTTCGTTTTGGTTAGGTTTCTTTATCAGTTGTTGTGGTGCCAGTTGCCAGTTTTCTTTCTCTGATAGTTTTCCTTCTGTGCAGTGGCTTTTCTGATAACACATTTATAATCTGTCTTCACAGGCCAGACCTATTTTCTCAAAATCTCCTTAACTAAGGGAGAGCCTGTGTAGTGAAACAAAACAAAAAAAAAATTATACCTCAAATATTCAGAGCTATTATTTCACTGCTGCATTTTTGTGTGTTCCAGGATATTTTAATAAACTGTCGTCGTGCTGCCACCTCTGTTGCTATCTGTCCACCCATCCCCTACTACCTGGCTGTGGGCTGTTCTGACAGCTCAGTGAGGATCTATGACAGGAGAATGCTTGGCACAAGGGCAACAGGTAGGAGCCACATGGTGCAGTGAGTAATTCTACCCACTGGCAGTGCCAAATTCAGGTTATTTTCACAATAGGTGGTGAGCCAAGTGTAACACTGCAGAAATGTAGCTTCCTTCTCTGGGAACTATGGTTTGTTATAATAAAGTCATTTCACTTTAATATTTGCTAATGCAGAAATCTTCAGAGAAGTAAACCTGATCTATTCATGCATCTTAGAATGAATTGTGTACTGAATGCAGAAAAAGACATTTTGTAATGCCTCTTATTTTGTCTTGAAACGTGTGATTTCCGGATTCCAAAAAGCCAGGGATTGCAGCCTCCAGTGCTCCACCTCAATTTTAATTTAGTTCTTGTCTTTTACTCTACCATGCTGGAATTTGATGCTTCTTATGGGAGGAGATCTTATGAACTCCATAATATCCTGCACTGTGCTTGCATTTGCAGTAGTTATTGCTGTATCTAACACAATTTAATTGAAAAACTTAAAATTCCTCAGGTGAAACTGGCATGCTTCAAATGCTTACCTAAAGATTTTATAAAAAAATTTCAAGTGCACAAGAATGTGTTATTTCATTTTGACATATCTCTTGGCTATAATGTATGATCAGTGTTTGGACACTAGGAATTAATAATACAGCTGTGACATTCGTGTCAACAAGCAGTGGCACAAAAATCTGTCATTTTGTGCAGCATTTCGCTGTTGATGACTGTGGTGGAGGAGAAAGAGAAGAGTAAAGATCACTAAACATAAAAATATCCTTCTCATCAGGCTGACATTCTGTAGGATCTCTCCCTTTCATCAATGTGGTCAGCAAAATTCTGTGAGAAGTACCTCAGGAACAGGTTCTGGGGTTTGACTAAAACGTCCTCTGTGTGTGCTCTAGTATTGAACAGTGCAGGAATAACATGAATTTGGCCTGGAGAGCAAAGGAGAGAAAAATGAAGGTTATGAAGACTGTTTTTAAAAAAATATTGGTATAGTGTTCTATTGCTTGTTTGGGGTTGTGTGGAATTTTTGTTTTTTGTTTTTTTTTTAGAGGTCAGTTATTCTGTGTCCAGTGAGCAATCTTGATTTTCATTGAATCACTTCTGCCATGTAGTTGACAGTTACATGTCAAATTATGAGGTTTTGGAACAGTCTGTTTTTCTCAGTGTTAGAGCTTCTTATAGGTAACTTTGATCTGCTCACAAACTTGTAATTCTAGAATTTAAGATTGCTTTAGTGTTTGGATTGGAGGTTAGTGATCAGGAAAGCATGGTAAAGTCCAATGTAGTGTATAGTTCTGCAGCTTCAAAGTGACAGTGTTATTCTGTTTTGAAGAAAAATTAGTATTTTTTTTTAAATAGGGTAGAAAAAAGATGTATTATCTAAATTTTCAAAGTTTCATGTAAGGAATTCCTTTCTCATTTGTGTGTAGATATAGATTTGCATTCTTGTTTTGCGGATTTTGGCTCTAAAATTTCCATTTCTACCACATTTGACAGATAGCTTCAATACAACACCATGTGGTGGGTATGTGAGACATTTATATATGTGTATGTGTTTTCATCTTTTATTTTTTGTAATGTACATAACATTTCTAAACAAAAATAATAAAGACTGTAAAATCTGATCTGTCATTCTCCAGATCAAATTTATTGCAGAAACTACAGGATACATAGCTTTTCCCTGATTCTCTTTTGTTGGATGCCAAATAAGGGGTTTATTGAAGCTGTTGAGAATTTGCAATAGTAAATGTGTAATTCTTTTCTTCCTCCTCTCTTCCCTCACTCTTCTTTTTTTTTTTTTTTTTTTTTAATAAAGGGAATTATGCTGGCAGGGGCACTGTTGGAATGGTGGCACGTTTTGTCCCTCCTCATCTCAACAACAAATCTTGCAGGGTAACATCCCTGTGCTACAGTGAAGATGGCCAAGAGATCCTTGTGAGCTACTCCTCAGATTACATTTACTTGTTTGATCCCAAGGATGACACAGCACGAGAACTTAAAGTCCCTTCTGCAGAAGAAAGAAGGGAAGAGGCAAGTGATTAAGATACCCTCGTTTTATGTTTTTTAACTTGCAGCACACAAGAAATACCATCACTTGTGTTTTCCTTTAATCTGAAAATTGTAGCTGGTTATAGAACTGAGGTGTGACAAGTAGATTGTCACAAAAATGGTGTATTTTTAATGCACATTTATTTATGTATTTATTTACAATATTTTGTCACTCTGGTTTTCTTTCTCATCTGATTTCTCTCTCTTGGAAGATGAGAAGGCATCTGCCTGAACCTCGGGTCATAAGACCAGCAAGGGTGGCAGGTCACTCTGTATTCTGTTACTTTCCATGCCATGAGAACCATATTCCTTGAAATCAAATGTTAATACTCCGTGGTAAAAGTTATCATTTCATGACAGATATGAGGGAGTACAAGATGTTTAGATCAAGGAGGTGAGCCACTGTTACTGAGCAGCATTAAAATTTTCAAAACTCAAGCAGTTGTTAACTATCAGCTCAGTTACAGTGATGCTGACTCTTCCAGTCTAAATTTTCTGATCAATATAAAAATAATGTCTTTAACTACAGTGAAGTTGTTTCTGTCTCTCCCTGCACTCTCCCAACCATCCACTCCTTTTTTCTCTGGTGTTTTGCTCTCCCTTTCACAAACTCTGTATCCTTAGTTCCTCATCTTTGGTCCGAGGCCACAAGGGAGCTCTCAGTGAGTTGTCAGCATCCTGCTGTCCTCAGCTGCAGGATCACTGTGATGATGATGATGATGATGATGATGATGATGATGATGATTTCTCTTTAGTTTTTGCTGTGAGAAGTGTGATGTTGACATTTCCTTTCTCCTTTTTCTTAGAATCTGTTTGGAACCATTTTTGAATGTTTCCCAGCACGTTTTACATGTGTTTTCTTAGTCAGGAATACAGTCAGGAATTTTGCTTTTAAAAGCTTATTCTTTGTCCTTGTTGTTATCCCTAAAAGTGTTGTTGCTTGGGTATTTTTATTTCAGCCTGGCTTAAAGTTGTATAGAGTAGAAGAAATGTAAAGGCTTCTTCCTAAATCTGCTGGTGGAGTCATGAAAGTTAAAACTTTGATATGCTTTCACCACAGGGCATTTGGATTAAAATTGTAAGCAGCTTCTGGGCTGGTTGACTGGTTTTTTTTGAAATTTTTTTTTTATTGGTTTCTTTATTTTTGTTAAGGCCATAAATATCCAGCCAATACACTTGACTTCAAACTCTTACATGCTTTTCTAAATGAGCAAAGCACTCCCTGTTTATCTTGAAGCTGCTGAAAGTAACACCACCATTTAGTGATTGTTTTATACTCCCTGCTGCAAAAGAAGTGTTATAAAAACTAAAAAGAAATTAGGTTAAAAAATAAACCAGAGCTTATTTGCATAAGATGTCCTTTTTTAAAAAAAAAGGTCTGATTTTTTTTTTTTTCCTTTTGCTTAATTACAGGTCCACATTTTATTAAACTGAAACTCACATAAAATTTTTAATGTGAAGAGGTGAATATTTATTTCTGCAGAATTCAGGCTGCATTTAAGAAAACCTTAATCATTATTGGTCACTATAGAAAAATTCAATTAACATGATGAAGTTAATTTAAATAAAGGCTGCATTAGTTCTGGGAGTCATTTATTTAGGCTATTGAAGCTAAAACTCGTGCATTTTGTTGGTAAGTGTTGTACTTATTCATGGTTCTGAACATAAGGCTGACATTCTGTGTTTTGGTGACAGATAGGAATTTAGGTGACTTAAGAAAATTGAGATTTATATTTAGGCTTAGAATCCTGTACTGTAGAACAGAAATAGCTGTGTGATGCCTTTTTCTCTTTTTTTCTCTTCCCCCAGTTACGTCAGCCTCCTGTCAAACGTCTGCGGCTCAGAGGGGATTGGTCAGATACTGGGCCAAGAGCAAGGCCTGAGAGTGAGAGAGAGAGAGATGGTAAAAGCATTTGCATTTGAACGAGGGTTGTTGTCTTTGCTGTGTTTTGTTGGGTATTTGTTTTGGTTTGGATTTTTTTTTTTTCTTAGTTTGGGTGTTATTTTCCAGTTTTTCTGAAGTATTTCCATAATACGTGCTTGAGATTGTCCTTGTTTTAACCATCAGCCAAGCCTTAAGATGGTTTTTGTAGAGTTTAGCACAGAGCTGCTATTGTATCATGATTTTTAAAATTGAAAATATTGGAAATATTCTTGCCAGGAAAATTATATTCTTTCAGTTAGGCTGATGTCAGTAAAGGAGAGCTTTTTTTCATTGTCATTGCACAGGGACTAACACCAGCACTTGTTTCTTTTCTTTGTAGTCACACCTCACATGCCATCACAATTACAAACGAAATGCTCTTTAATGGTTACATTAGGGAACTGGGATTCAAAGCAATAGCATTCTAATATTAACTTTTCGTTTTTATAATGTCATTTAGTAACACAGGGTGGCTAATTTTTATGCTTGTATTTTCATGTTTGTAATATATTACTCAATTGCTTGAGATTTTATCAAATAAAATTTTTCCAAAGCTATGCTTGGGTATCAAAAATTGGGATACCAAAACAGGGCAGAGCATTTTTTTGTCACTCATCTAAATTTTCATCTAATAATGTGTTTCTGTTTAAATCTGACAAGCTGTGGAGTTCCCAGTATTTGACTCTAGCTTGCTTAAATCTTTCTCCCTTTTCTGCCTACAGTTTCCCTTTTCCGATTTTCTGTGCTGTTGTTCTCATTTTCTTGCTTCCCCAAACTAGAATAGATTCTGTACCTGACATAGGCAGTAGGAGATGCTGTTTAGGGAGAGAACATGAGCCTGTCCTCTTGCCTTAGTCTGTCTTTTTGCTCCTCCAGTATCTGGAATTACTGGATTAGAAACACTGGGGGGTGTGATCCCATCTGTTCCTTTACAATTTGCATGTGGTTCTGTTGCCTGTGGGCTTCTGAAATCCTTTTTTTGAACCTGTTGATAATATTTCCTATGGCATCATTAGCCATCTTTAGTCTGTTTTCTTTGGCTGTTGCAATTCCATTTTTTGTGTTCTAAGGTCTGAGCTCCTCTACTTGAGGTACAGGTGGAGAATGAGGGATCCCAGCAGAGAGTCAGAGATCTGTACTGTGGAAATGAGGATAGACAGGGTCATTGGGAACAGGCTGAAGGGAACTGTTTCTTGTTAGGAGAAGGGGGTGAGGGGTAGGCTCCATTTCTGGAAGAAAAGAGAGGGGGAAAGGTACTTTTTGGTCAACCTGTAGGTAAAACTTCAGCACCACTTGTTCTACAGGGGAGCAGAGTCCCAATGTCTCTCTGATGCAGAGGATGTCAGACATGCTGTCAAGGTGGTTTGAAGAAGCCAGTGAAGTCGCACAGAGCAATCGAGGACGAGGAAGATCACGGTCCAGAGGTGATTTCATTCTTTTCAACAATGATTACAACAGAAATTGTGTTTATAGAGGATTTTCACTAGTAGTATTTCACATTGCAGTATCAGCCTTTCCTAGGTGTAGACAAAATCTAGTGCACTGAAGAGCTGAGCATATTTGTTTATAGGAATGGAAATGCAAAGGGGTCTTTAGAGGCAGAGTAAGTTTACTTTTGTGCTCTTTTTCTTGCTTTTCTGTTCTATTTTTAATCAAAGGTGGGACTAATCGGACAGATGCTCCTGCTACTAACAACATGGCACCCAGCAGAGAAACAGAAACTGCAATGGAAGTAGATGGTTCTGAACAGCTTCCATCATCTTCCTCTTCTACCATGTCAGCTCAAGCTCCTTCAACATCATCTTCGACAGAAAGTCCCCCTTCAACTTCATTACTGTCCTCTCCTGACAATGAGCAAAGGCCTTCTTTAGGGGCCTCAACTCAGCCTGTGCTGCATCAGTCTGGTGAGAAGAAATCCATCTTGTCATTGTTTATGAAAAATAAGAAACAATTCTTTTTTAGGATATTTTGGGTAATTGATCTCCAACTGTTTCCTTCCTAGCACATCTTTAATGAGACTTGGGTATTTTATAGTTACCAAGTGATTGCAGCTGTGGTTTGAAGAAAGAGTAAAACCATCAACTCTATACCTTTGTCTGAAAAAGAAATTTCCAAGGGGATCACCAGTATTGTGTTTTGAAGTAGAAATAAAAATTTTTTGCTTATTTTTTTCTAAATACTGTTGTCTTCATGGAGTGTGGTGACATCTTGCCCTCTTCCACTGGGATTTGGCTGTAGCAGCATCAGTGCAAGGAATAGCAGAACCTGTGCCTGTTAAAATCAGGAGAGGTAAGGGATGTCATCCTCAGGAGGAACCTCCATTCTCAACATTTCAGAGTCAGCAGTGTTGAGTTTTAGCTTCTCAAAAGTGTTTGGATAAACAAGGCTCACCTGGCATGACATTCCATTATTGGCCAATAAATTATACCACATAATGACAGTTTGTATATCTTAAAGAAACTCAATCTGTGTTTAATACAGACTTACATTCTTTTTTGGGGAAAAAGAAGGAAGTATATTCTGCTGTCAGAATGTCAGAAATTAATTTGAGTAGTAAAAGAGCACCTTATGCTTTGACTTGACCTTTTCCATCTCAATGCCACAGCCTTTAGAGTGGAATATTTATACAAGAGTTTATTTTTACTTTTTTCAAGTGACTTTCTAGGCCTCAAAGTTATAATAGAAGGGCTCATGTAACCTGAAAGACCAACAGGTTGAGACCTTTTGTATTATATAGATTCTATTGTAAAAAAATCAGGCTCTCAGTCTTAAATTTGATATTCTGGAATACAGGACGGATGGGGATTTCCCAGGGGAGAGTGTGCCTTTCAATGTACTGTGGCTGCTGCAGCCAAAATCTTTGGGATGGGTGAGCAATTATGAGGTACCTGGTGTCTGAAGGACAGGGAAGATAAAGACATAAGTTGAAATTCATGAAACATGTGATTATTGTTTTTAAACCTTGCAGTTAGTCTGATACTTTCTTAGATAAACAGTGAGTAGAAAAATAGCAATACACACAGCAGTTTTAGAAAATGCCAGAAAGTTTATTTAGTATCAAAGGCCTTTAGTCATCTATGTTTTTTATTAGTATTGGTGTCAGCTTGCCACATTCTCAAGTTTTTTCACAATATACACACAAAAAGATAATTAAGGGGTCTACTCTAATTCAGTGCAACCCAAATTTAGCTTCTATTATCTTTGATCCAGAGGGATAGCCATCAAAGAACACATGTACCATTACCAAAGGTTAATTTTCATCTGTTTATTTATTTTTAAAAGTATACACTTTATTCTGGAACTTGGAGTGGCCAGGAGATATCTACCACGTTAAAAATAATGGCTTCAAGCTATGAAACATTGTGGGTTTCAGGAAGATAATGCACCAGAGGGGATTTCTGGAATTATGATGCATTTTCTAGCCTGCCTTTTAAGGAATCTGTGCTGATCAGAAAAATCTTTTTCTCTGAATCTGCTTGAATTTCTAAGCAAAAGTTTATTCTGCTAGCATGAAGCTGTAGTTGTTATTTCTTAATTCAGCTCTTTTATAAGAGCATTTTTTTCTTTCCCAGTGTTACTTTGGACTTTGGAATATATTTAGTTTTGAGAGGAGTAGTGATGGTTGGTTGACAGACAATGGATACTTTCTAATTTGTTGTATAATATTTGAGAGATTCTTTGACTAAACCTAAACAAGGTGTCAGATTGGCACCTTAAAATTGTCTACAGGACTCTTGCAGGCATAAATTTAATAGTGCAAGGTGTTTACACACCTAATAATCCTGTTTCAGAAGCAGTGCAAATGAGACACTGGAGTTACAGCAAAACAAGTTTTTGGGTAACTTAATGGGTGAGTTCAGGGAGCAGGGATGCTCCTGGGCAGAGGGAGCAGATCGTGGGGTTGCAGTGGCTTTATGAATGAGCAGGCTGAGTTGGGAATGTCCATTTTGCAATGTTTATGTACCCTGGTAACCCATGGCTGTGCTCAGTTGTGAGATTTTATTTACTCATAATCTGTAGTCTATAAATGTATCTGCAAGCAATGCCCTCTGCATCAAGGACAGCATTCCCTGAGCTTGTTCACCTGCATTTAAAGGTGAATAAAAACCTGCTGCATTTTTGGGGTGACAGGAAAGGGAAGGTACTAATTATGGAATATCTTAACTACAGGGGGGCTGAGTAGGAAGCCCAGACAGAGGTGTGTTGTAAGAGGTGGATGACTGGGGAGGCATTTTGGAAGGTGGGAGAAGGGATAAAGAGGTTTTCAGCCACCATTTTGTGTAAAGACATGGCAGATACAAGTCTGAATATTGTAACAAAGGGTCAGAAACTGAAGAATGTGTTTTCAGGAAACGACCTCTTTAGAATCAGAGCATGAATTCCTAAGCCAGGCTTGTTAACAGCTTTCCATAAATAACTTCTACAGATTCCTGCACTGAATGAACATGAGCACTGTGATAATCCAGTGTTTGAAATCATAATACCTTTGCATAAGTATACAGTTCAAATTTATCGTTGGTTTGGTGTTCTAGAAAATGTGTCACATGGTAAGCATTTGAGCTTCTACATCTGAATTACTTTTTAAAACTTTGAGATGAAGTACCTGGTCAAAATAGTCAGTACAGAAACGGTTTAGTGCTGGAGCTTGTTGGGATAGGTCTCTTTAGCAGAATGTATATTCTAGAATATTGAACATTTAAGTTACAATTAAACAACAAAATCAGTGCAAAATCTCAGTAGCCTATTACTGCCAGAACATATGAATAATTTTTTATATATGTATATAATGAGAACAATTGCTGGACATTGTCATGCTTGTCACTAAGGAAAAATACAACAAATTTATTTTCTTGCCCTGCTTCTGCCATTCATTGGAAACCTTTAATTTTTTTGTATATTAGTTTTAAGATGCTGATGTTTTAAACCACTAATAAACACCAGGTATAACAAACAGTAAAATATAATACAGATTTTTCTCATAAATTCCAGATACACATTGGGAGGGGATGCAGTTGGCTAATTAGTACAGAGCTTAACCCTAATATGTGTTCTGATATGAGGTAACTACTTTTAAGTTTTGAATGAGAATGTGACAATAACTGGGGTTTTTTTACTTATTTCTATTTCCCCACTCCATTTGCTGGCAAAATAAACATTTGCTTAGATATTCTGGAATATATTAAAAGGTGTTGCCACTGAACATGTCCAGGATATCAGCTTTTACATTTGGTGTTGTAGTTCTTGTTATATCTTAAGTTGTGGATGTCTCTTAACTCAGTGGAACTGAATCAGCAGCCAGTACTGAAAACTGCAATTTTAGGCATCATTGAAATTCCCTTAAAAGTATTCTCTAGGCTGTTTGGAGTTTTTATTTCCATAAATGGTTTTGGACATGAAAACTATTCATAGCAAATCTCCTTGATGCTATATTCCTTTTAGGAACTATGTCTTTTAATTTTTGTTAACATCTTATCAACCAAAAACTGAGAGGATTTTTTTCCCAGAAATGATACTAGACTAAGTACATTAAACCTTGTGACCATTCAGTATTAACTGGTGCTTGTCACTAATTTTCCAATTACTGGATTCTGGTTTTTGGTTTGTTTCTCTTTATAAAAGAAAATTTAAGATTTGTTTGTTTCACTGTGTGGATAAGGGTTACAGGATATTTGTTAAGTTTTTGCCTGTCTGAAAGGCCCCATGTCAATGTAAAGCCCTCTCCTATTTTAACATGTCAGTGTGATTCAGACACTGCTATTAAAGACACAGTCTGTGTTATTTAAAGAGAAGCACTTGCCACACAGCACTTGTGTTAGTGGAGGAAATCTGCAAAGGGCATGGAAAGAATAAAAAATTGCTTGGACACCTCATTTTATAGCAGTTTGCAGAAGTACTGGTAATCAGGAAATGAACATAACATGACAAAATAGTTTAACTGGCAAATTAATAAAGACAAATGAATGAAAACTTCACTGATGAAAACAGTGAAGTTTCTAAAGATGAGACTGAAAGAATAATCTATTAAGAGGATGCTACTAAGAATTGCTTATGGTCCCATAAATTACTTTGTCTGGAGGACCACTTAACAGTGATTTCAGATTGTGAATCTTCTACCACAGGGAATGTCCAAAATTAAAAATGAGTTAATAGAGAAGTGTATTTTTTGGTTTAGCTGTTGTTCTGCCACCTCTTTCCATAGTTCCAGTTTACTTTTTGCACTGGTTTGTTTTGATCAAAATTTACCTTTTTTTTTGGAAACATCAGGAAGCTATTACATTCATTTTGAAAACTCACCTGTAGACCACAGTTGCATAGTTTTACACCAGATATTCTCATTTATTCTGTGTGTTACGAACATCAGAATGAATACATCTGTTGTGTGCTTTGTTTTGATTTAAGCAGGCTGTATCAATTTTTCTTAAATAATTCTTTGTTTAATGGTTTAATTGCTGGAGATGGTGAAGGGGTTGTATTACATATGGCACGAATCCTGAATATTTAAGTCCTGTGATTCATGCCTTTAGGAAGAGAAAACCAATTCCGATATTTCTATTTCATGATTCCTGGATGTTAGTACTTTTTTTTTTTTTTTTTTTTACAGTGATGACACTTAGCACCTATACCCCTATCCCTCCTCTCTGCTCTATATATTAATTGCTCAATGCTTGTCTCTTTACCCCCTTTGTGTCTCCCTGTGTGTTTGTCAGAGTTAATGGGACCCGAGTTAGCAATAATCCGTAGGGGCCTGCAGCGACTGAGGCTTAAGAAGGCAGAGCAGCAGAGACAGCGAGAGCTGGCTGAGGCTTCTGCAGCACAGCCCTCCTCTTCTGAGCAGGCCACCCCTAAGGGCTCCTCACAGGACCCCCAGGCAGCAGGTTGTCACTTGCCAAGGTTTCTCCAGCAGATGATGTAGCTGTAGTTTGTGCTGCTGCTGTTTGCTGAGATGCTTCTCCTCCAGAACAAGGCATTTCCTGCACTGGCTGCTTGTCTTGCCTTGCATGTGGTGGTGTTTATCATCACATGGGCAGGGGAACAGTTGAATGAGCAGGTTTATTGATCTAACACGTTTGGATTGAGTGATACTATGTGGAAATGGTTTTCTAGGTGCATGGTATCAGGTTTGTGCAATGGTCATTTGAGCAGCTGAGCAAGAAATTGCTGTGTTCTGCGTAGAACAAGAATTACACACTGAAATTGCATTTTGGTGCTACAGTAACATTTACGACTCGGCTTTGGGTTAGCATGTATTCTAAATCAGAGTAACAATTCAGTCAAACAGTTTTGACACTCTTCAGTGCTATGGTTTTACAATAAGTATAGTGAAAATACTTGTACCTAGCCAAAGTCCCCAGATATGCTCTCCTTTTTTTGAACAGAGCAACTCTTCATTTCACCATCCTCTTTCTCTCTTGTCTTACTGAAATTAAAAATTATTATACGAAAGCCTCAAATATGTTTGCAGCAACATATTTGAGAAAGTTAGGGCAGAAGCATGCATATGAATAAAGAGGCAAATCCTAAAGCATAAACTTGAAGCAAACTTTGTCGTGGCACCATGTGAAAAGGAGTGAGCTGCATGCTGTGTGAGAATTCAGTGTATTTTGTGCTTCAAAGTCATGTCTAGCAGTGTCTCTTCTGTGGATAAATCCGGTGACAGTTGAGATGTGGCTAAATTGCTTTTAAGGATTGTGTCACACGTTTACAGCTGTCTTGCCATGGTTCAGTCTATTCCTTAATCTGGAGCCTTACAGAACAATTTGATGTCACAGTGGCTAATGCTCTAGTCACAATGTGCAGTTACTGAATTCTGAATAACCTTCTACACTAGAAAATACTGCAGTGAGGTTTTAGGGTGTTTTGGAAACCAGTACATGCTGGGAGGGGTGTGTGCCTATCTTAGGGATGGCAACCATGGGTGCCTATTACCTGTAGGAGGAGAACAGTAACAGCAGTGGTAGTGGTGGCCTTGTAGGGGGCTGCAGTTTCCTGCCAGGACAAAAAAAAAAAAAAACACCTCAAAAATCTACCCATTTTGGCTTTGTGGTTTTGGTTTTTTGCTTTTTCAGCAAACTGAACATCAGAATTTATTAACTCAAATATAAGTATTGATAGAGGAAAAGTCATGACTAACACAGTCAATAGATTTTCCATTTCCTTTTCAGAATGGCCTATTTTTAAATTTTTTTACTAAATTGCTTCCCACTGAATTGAAGGAGGGAATAGTTTGTTTACAGACATGTCTGGAGGTTTATCTGTGGGGATTTTACTACCTCTGAAGCATGTGTTGGCCTAGGTTTCATTTTGATACAGCTTTCCCATCTCTTCCTTAGTGGTCCTTCAAGAATGCAATGCAATTATTTTTACTCCCTGTTGCTTGTGGGGTTCCTACAGCACACTGAAGGATCCATACTGCCACAAATGGGAAGGTTTGAGCTGAGTAATTGCTTTGACTGGGAGGCCTAAGGGTCTTGTGCATAGTTTGGACCACCCCCAACACTGTCTCTTGGAGTTTGGGTTCCCACATGCTTAGAACTTTAAGGGAACTATTGGAAACATCCAGTCCTTTTGTTTGGGATCACCAGGAGCCACATACACAGCCTTGGAGGAAACTAATATTCAAATACTTATTTCTTTCTGCATGTATTGACAATGCATTTGCAAATTTAACCATTTTACTTACTCAATAATTGCTTTGAAAGACAGAGTTACTCAGTGGAAACATTTCTTTCTGGGGAGACAAAGGGGAAACAATTTTTCTCCCTGAGCTCCAGCTCATTAGGATATATCTTCTTGAGGTTTAGTCTGATGGGTGGAATTGTTACCTTCAGCAGTATAGGCAGTAGAAGTTATAAAGGAGAAATTTAAGTTTGAAAATATTTAATATGTTTGGTCAATTAGCTCTTGAGAAATTTGATAAAAGATTACATTGTCTTTTCCTTTCTATTTGTGTGTGTAAAAACAAGATATTCCTGTTGTGGTTTGTCAGCTTCTTTCATTGCATTCCTCTTTCCCCTGCCCTGGGAGGGAACAAATGAAGCTCATTTCTTTTAAGTGGGGATCACCTTTGCATTGTTTATTTACTTCATTAAATTTCTGCACTCTGGACACAGAGATATTCTCTGTACTTGCTCATTTCTTTTTTTGAAAGTTAATTCGTTTTGTTTTCCTTTTCTGACCTCCCAAGATTTATTTTTGCAAGTTGGTTATTCATAATCTATTCCTTTGGAAAACCAGAGCTGCACATTTTTGGTCTCCTGCTTCTCCACAGACACAGTTGTTTTCTAACCCTGTGTTTAGCTGGCTTTTCAGAAATATGGTAGGAGAAAAATAAGTGAGTAGTTTTGGGTTGTTTGGGCTGAAAGGTTGTCTTTGCTGCCCTGTCATGAGGCAGGTGTTCAGTTTTCAGGCACATACTAATTGTAAATTTTCAAACAAAAAAATTACACCCCAAGTCTGCAAGTTCTCAATTCCTGCTCTGATAAAACTTATATAATTTGCACTTGCAATTTTGGAGGGAATTCAGTGTGAGACTAAGGCCTCTTCTTCTGACTTGTACTTCATTATTAATCCTTATCTTTGCAACCACAGAAGCTTGAGTAGAAGAAGAAATATATCCCAGCCATGTAAGAAATTCCAAGTAGAAAATGTCAAGAGATGAAAGCTTTTACAAGTTTAATAGAAAATTAGACTGTGTGGTAGTTATTCTGTCTCCCAGTTACATGAGGATTTGTAAGATCAATCTGTAGTAGTTGAGCATATTTTTCTAAATAGTGAAGGTTAAAAGTTTATCTTTTTGAATGTGAAAGGGAGATGAACAATGATTCATTATTTGACTCTGAGACAAAAGGTCTTAGATGACAGATTTAGTGGATAGCCCTCTTAAGTATTGTCTTAATTTGGAATTTGGCTGAATTTTAGAAGCAGTGTGTGCTACATGGATCAGGGCTATTTTGTCTTCAAGCCTTTGCTTAGATATTGAATAGATTAAATTTTTTTTGGTAGCCACTTTTTAAAATTAGAAAACTATGGTAAATATTTCAGTTTAGTTTGGATTTTTATTTATTGTATCTCCCTCAAAGCTTAATTTTTACTTTCATTTTTGTGGCATTTAATAACATTTAGATCTCATGCAGTATTTAAACAACTGCATTTATGTGCTATATGCAAACAACAAGAAAATAAACATTTTAAACCTGTTGTTATTGCTGCTATGCCACATATGCATCACCATTACTACAGCACTTCTCATTCTGAGAATTTAAGGAGATGGAATTCAATTTGTGACAGAAAAGTAACAGAAACGTGAACCCAGCTGATCATGAAGTAAAAAAGAAAAACATATTATAGATCAAGGGTTCTTGGAGTGGTCATTGTACCTAATCTTATCCACAAAACCATGAATCAATATTAGCCTTTTTTTTTTTTTTTCTGAGGAAAAAAGATTATTTAGACTGCATTTGCTGTGGAATGCAGATATATGTGTGTGCATGCTGGCATATTGCAGAACCTGTGCTGCAAATGGGCTTTTTTTTTAACTTTTGGTTGATCTATACAGACAGTCTTTAAAGCAGAGCAAACTGGACCTTCAGTATTTTTGTGTTAAAGGTTTTGGAGAAGAACAAGGGAATGATGGCAGTTTTTATCACTGGATTCTTTGCTAACACTCAGATTTAGAAATGTCTATTTGAAGTGCACAATATATAACTGAGAGCTTATTTACTGTGCCAAGCAATTATTCATAGTTATTAAATCAAGTATTTAATTTCTTAGATTACTCTACATGTTTAGGACTTTTAAAACAGCTCTCAATACTTTAGGCTTCACCTTGAACCTGGTGATGTAAGGAGGAATTTTTTTCAACCAAAACTGAGGTGGCATGCTAATATTTTGGTGAAGTCAGGTGCTGATTGCCCAAACTACAGGAAGATGCTTCAGCATATAACTGACCTTAAAATTATCTTCTATTTTCTGTTTGAGGTTGCCCAAATTTATGAATCTCCAGTTCCCTCTTTAAGTGGTGCTCCAGTTTAGAATGTACTGGTGACATTACAACCAGTGGTGAACTGCATTGGGATGTAGACCCAGCCTGTGAAGGCTCAGGTAAGAGTTTGGATTTTTGTTTGTTTTTTTAACTATATGGCACAGTTTTGGTAATACTTATTTTTCAAAAGCTTTATAAGAAATTATCAAAGTATTTTTTTCAGACTTTTTTACAAAACAAAGCCATATATTAAAAAAAGAGGCATTTACCTGAACTTCTCTAGGCTGGTTTCATGGTCGTGCTGATTTCCCTGCTTGAGGTGGGGGTTCCAGACTGCAGAGCCACTTCAGGGGGTGCTGGTGATCTGTGGCTTCAGGGAACTTGGAAACAAGGGGGGTTTCAAGTTACAAACAACTATTCTTAACCATGCTAATTCAAGTATTTAGGATGTTTCCTGTATGTTGATTAAATATTCATTTATTTAGGTGAAACACATTCACAAAGTTGTACAGAGACTTGGATGTAACAGTGACATGTGGGAGGTTTAAGCCTCTGTTGGCATGGACTTCTACCCAGAAACCTTCTCATTTTCACTTACTGTGATTGAATGATGCACATGGCAAAACATGCCTACTTTTTTACTTACTGCTGTGTAGTGTGAGGCCTTAATGAAATAGGGAGTGCTGGTAAGGGTAATAGATGTAATTTTTTATGTTTCTAATTAAAATATGTTCAGTCTTCTGATCATACAGGTCTGAATAACAGAGTTAACAAGATGAGGTTTTCCAGCCAAGTGGAATATTTGGCAGCACAAAACACCTTTTAAGTAAAGGCATATGAGCTTTTGGAAAGGATTGGAGTGCAGGAACAGAGCGTGGCTGGGATCACTGTCATGAGTTAGTTTTCTGAGCTTGCAGTCCAGGACCTCTCCTCCCTTTAGGACTTCTGATACAATTTAATCCCAGCCATGTACTTTGTGAGGCAGAGATCAAAGCCAGCCCTTGAAAGAGACACAAATCCCTGTGCTGAGTCAGTTGGAACACAAGGAGATCATCTCATGATGTGGTGCGTTGGTACACCAGCTTTTTGCTCTGATTTACCTTCTAAAAAGTGACTTAATACTGCATTGAAAAAATTCCATTGTAAATCCTTCTCTTCTAATTTAGATAATATACATAAAGCACACTTCACTTTTGGAAAGTCAAATATATTAATGCTACAAATCTTCTACTTAATAGCTACATGCTATAAGTCTAGATGATAAATTCTGTGGTCTGACTTAGGTGTGCTTGGTGCAAGGCACTGGCATGGTTGAGCAAGGGAGACAAATCAGAACCAATTTAATGTTCCTCAGTTACAGAAATAAGCTGTGCAAGCCTTGTTCCCAAAACAAGGCAGCCTCAGACTTTCCTGGTCTCTCTCCTTTGCTCCTCCTCCCCTTCCCTGCACCTGGATATCAGTGTAACCAAGGAGCACACTGCCATTCTTCCACCAATGGCTGGGAATGAATGACTGCTTGGGAATATATGTATTTAAAGCAGCTTGGTCAATTTAGCAGGTTTTATGGCTGTGCTACAAAATAGGTCTCACTGGTGATTCTGGCTCAAAGCTGGAAGGGAGCTTCCTGTAGGAGAGAATATTATTTCATTGCTTTCCTTGTATAGGATCTACACTTATGTTAAAATTCATTTAGCATGCTGTGATGTTGGCAGACTGTGACTCAGTTTGTAATACAGGATATTAAATCCTTTTAGTTTAGGATGAATTTGTTCATAACAGAATATTAACAAGTGGAACCAAGATATGATACTCTAGCCAATATCTTTGGAATACTGCATTAATTTATGTACATCAGCCCATCTTCAGACAATACAGAAGTAAGATCTGGTCTTCGGAGGTGACAAGGGAAATAAACTCACAGAAAACACTGAATATTGCATCTGTTGTGTCTGTGCAATGAATGAGTGCTGGTGATAGTTATTAACTGGTAGTGTCCAGGGGAAAAAAAGGCACTTACCTGCTGAGGGGAGGGTAATTATTCTATTTATTTGTTTGTTTATGTGATTGATGGGGATGCTTGTAAGACTGATGGGTGTGGTACTGTGATAAACTCATCAAGACTTGTTCTCAGTCATCAGAGGTGCAGCATCTAAGAATGCAGAACTACCAAACTGTCATACAAGTGGGATGTATTTTGGTGCTTTGATGTTCTAAAACATTATTATTAAAACGGAATTGAAATATCGGAGGTACTGGTATGCCATGGAGTATTTTATGCTGAAGTATAAATATTCTGAAATTTACATTTTGCACATGGTGTGAAATATTGGTGTCATTTGGTAGCTGGAGCAAAGGCTTTAGGAGTCATGACTCTTCAGTGTTTTTCCTGACATGTCAGAAGTGTGAAGAACACAGTAAAATATTTGGTAATGGACAGGCATTTCCATTATCAACATGTCAGCAAGCTTCAGGCTGTTCAGTGAATAAATAATGGTTTGAAACAAGTGGCTTTGCTTCTGTCATGCCTAAAAAATGCAATATGGCTGGCTGCTCATTAAACAAACCCAAAGCTTCCTTATGTTGCTGCTTTTTTTATTTTAAACTAACATATGATCGTGACATTGCTGTGCAGTTCTCTGCTGCTTATGTTTTAAGTTGAAATCTCGTTTTTGTTTCAGATTCTCCTTCTTCAGTGGTTAACAAACAGCTTGGATCCATGTCACTTGATGAGCCACAGGGTGCGTGTGACAGGAAATGCACTATACCCAGCCATAGCTGATTGCAATGCTTCCTTTTAAAGTTGCTTTTCATGATGAGAAACAGTCTAAAAATGCTGTTCATCCACATAAAGTAGAATTCTGTAAGCAGATCTGCTGGAAACTCATTATTTAATGATCAATATGATTAACAGAGTGAGGTTAATTGTTTTTGAAAGCCATCCTAAGCTTGATTCTTCATGCAATTACTACAGTTCAGTGTAGGTACAGTAAATGTCTCATGTATTCTCCAGACAGTTGGAATATTTTTGTAAAATACAAAGTAATATTAATTATTTAAGCAAGTTGGGTTTTTTTCTGGATGGCTCTTGGATCAAAGGGCAAATATCAAGATTGCAATAACCTTTAATCTCATAATGCCACATTAGTTTCTCTAATCCATGAGTGATGTGCAGCTTTGTTATTTCTGCACAGTTGGAATAACTCCAGAGCACCCATTGCACTGAGGTGCATCTTCCCTCTGTATCCCCTTGTCCTTCACCTCTCCTGCTGAACAAGTACTGGTGTTTGCTGTAGGATCCCTATGGACTGGGGGTGGACAGAAAGCTTGGGAGCTTTCTCTGTGCCCATTGTACATCAGTCTCCAAACTGTGAGCACTGAAGTGGGCCAGAGGTGACCCTGTTCCATCAATGTCATCTGTAGGGAATATTTATGGCTGAATAATTAAGGAGTGATAGATGCTAATTTAAAAATAGATTGCATTACACTCTGCATTATGCTTCCATATCAAAGTGTCTGTAGAGATTAAATAGCTGAAATCCCACAAAACAGCTTTGTCTTCTTTCACATTCTGAACTAGAAAGCCATTTTGAAATCCCACTTCTGGAAAATTGTTTGGCAACTGTTGAGATTATGGCTTGCTTTAAGAGGCCAGAATGTTGGGGGGAAAAAAGTCAAGCTGCACCTTGACCAAATAAAGTGATTTTGTGATGAAATAGCCTTAAACCTCAATGTGTAAATTTGATAATTATTTTTGGTTGAGTAGTCTGCATCATTCCAACGATCAGGTTTAGCTGGAAAACTTGGTTTTAACAAGTGGCCAAGTTATGCTCTCTGTTCTGTACTCAGAAGAAAGCATTATTTGATCAGAGTAGAATAATCTAGAACTAAAATAGAAAGTCTGTAAGTTTCTTAAGATTCTTACAAATGTAAAAATTTGGGAAAACGGGTTTTTTTCTGCATTAATTTACCTGAACTAAGAGATTCCCTCTTATAGAAGCTTCAGTTTTTTAATATGCAAGAAAAAAAGAAAAAAAACCAACAAAATACATTTACTTTTCAGTACACCAATTCTCCAGTTGTTGTAAGGCAATGTTTTTCTGCTTTGTTAGCATACAATGTTACTTTTAATTTGTAAAATAGAAGCTTGAAAAAGGAGCAAATTTATTAGGAAATCTTTTGTTCAAATGATAACCAGAAAGAGTAATTTGCTGAGATCCAGTTGAATGTCTGAAGTTTAACTGCATTAGTTTCACTTCTATTTGAAGTCTCAAAATAGTATAAGTAGTTAATAAAGGAAGTCATAACAGTTCTTTTAATACAGAACTACCTTTCCTTCATATTCCTGCCTTCTCTAATTTAGTACTGAATCAACTGTCTTCTGTTAGACCAGTCTTTCTTATTGGCATTCATGTTTTAAGGCTGATTTTGGGTTAAAAGATTTTTTGATTCTTATTGCAATCACATACATTTATAATGCCAGCATTCTGCCAGCAGAACTCAAAAGTCATTCCTTCACATATTTGTGTGTACAAAATGATTTCAAATGGATCACAGTCATCTCCACTTGACTTTTCAAAAATGTTTTGGACTATGATTGTAATAGTGGAGGGTTGGCCTTTAGATCTATTGCAGTGTTAGGGTTTTAAGGTACTGCCTGAGTTGGAATAAGTAAAGAGGGAACCTAAGGCCTGATTAAATTTCACGTGTTAAGCCTTCTCACAGAATTCCTGTTTTTCTGAAATACATGACTTTTTATTTCCTCTTTGGATTGATTTTTGTCCCTTCCAGAATTATCTCTCTTAAATATTCACACAGAAGATAGTGCTGAATAGGAATTTTTTTACTTTTTTTTAATGAGAAGTTATCTATCCTCCTCTCATGAGGTTGCCAATAGATGAGTGAACAGGGCAGCATTTGAGATGAATAGCTCAGCATTTGAGATGTGGCAAACTGGCTTGAAGTGTTAGTTTAATTAGGAACTGCAATCTGTAAACTTGTCCTTATGTTCTTACTCCTTTATAATTGAGAGCCCCAGTCTATGAAGTTACACTTGCACAAGTTCATTTTCTAAGGGAAAAAGTGGGTCTGAAGGTTGTTGCTGTCAGTTGAGTTTGGTTTGTGGATCTGTTTTTCACATAAGGTTATGAGTGAAATTTTGTCTTCACTTTTAAGAGGGGTAGTTTAAAAGTGCCTTCTTCCTGTAGGCACCTTAAGAATGGACCATTTAATGGGAGTGTGCTTTAGAAAGGGTTGTTTATGAAATAACTGTAAGTTGTTGATAGTAACTTCAAAATAGCTTGTGTTTGGCTATAAAATTAAGTGAAGTTCAAGGTATTTTTGAGGAATTTAGAATAGAGTTTAGTAAGGTGGTCAAAGCTACAGTTTTCTCTTGTAGCAGTGATTAATTACCCTGATAGAGTTGTCAACCAGATTAATGTACTGATTAGCCTAAATCACAGAATTGGGCCATTTTCTTCTCCTTCCTTTCATTATCAATGTGAAGTAGATCTGTCCTGATGGGATGAACTTAGTAGAGGAAGAGAAGAGAGCTTTGTTCTAATCTGGGCAGTCTTTAAGCATCACATTTCTCCTTGAAAACAGAGCTGAAAATTTGTAGGCTTTATGTGGCTTCTCTAAAAGAATGTTCAGTTATGTAGGAGGCAAAGCTTATTCATTTTCTTCACAGAGGCTCCCAGTCAGCTTTCATCAGCAGTGTAAATTCAATATCAAATATTGAACCACACAACTAATTCTCTGCAGTTTATTATCAGATTCTTCTCTCATCTGTCTTTTAAAATGCTTCTTGTTCTTATAGTGTCTATGTTATGCCCTAAAGCTACTTGAAAGAAGAAACTGACCCCATCCAAATTGTAGTTCGTGTTATTGTAGATTTAGGAAAATGCTATTATCCAGTATAGCTTAACAGCTATCTGTTTCCAGAAACTTGTAAAAATAATTTCTCAGTCAGTGCCCTCTTTAGTGAAGTCTGAAGCAGTTCTTGCAACTCTTTAGGTGTGGACAAATATGAGCATTGCTTCCAGAGTAAGTGTAGCCAGTCCTTATGCATCTTGGATAAATTTTCAGATACTGAGATTTTAAGACAAGCCTGGTATTCAGTTAGGCTCGTTGTAGATAGCAGTGGTTGGTTACTTTGGCAGCATTAAGTGGTTTTGTGCTGAAGCCAGCCTAGCACAGCAGTAGGAAGTCCATGAGTGCAGTCATTTGTATGGGGATTGTCTTGGATTATTCACAGCAGGAAATTGTCTGTTTTTTGTTGGGTTCCCAAATCAAAGCTCTGTCTTGTCTGTAACTGTTACAAGGAAGCTGAAGAATTCTTCAACTCTTGGTTTTGACTTTCAGTGTCAGTTCCTGGTGACTTGTGCAGTATGTGGGATCAATCAGTATTTCTACTTGCTGAGGAAGGGATGCTTGAAGTCTGAACAGATTTTTATAAAAGAGATTTCATAAATCACAGATAATCAAAAAATAGGGGAAGCACCCATTCAGTTAAGAAAGAATGTCACTTTTGTTCAAACTGCCTATATAGCACTATAAAATATTTCCTTACATTCTTTCTTAGATTCCAGTTCCTTAAATAAACTTTCTTTTAATCCTTGCTCCACTCTAACAAGAGTGTAACTGGAACTTTTAAATAATTAAAGAGGCTATAAGCTTTTCATTCCATAGAGCGGGGCCCATACCTTGTACATTGTTAGGGTCATGGTTGTAATTTCACATAAAAATATTCCAATTTGTTCTTTCAGGGGTTTTGTGGTATGTTTTGGGTTTTTAAATTTCAGAACATGTAGAAGTGCATATTTAAAGTTCTTTGGCACAGCTGATAACTGCTCTCATCCTGTGAGTGGGCTTCTGCCTGTCAGCAGTTTAAAAATATGAGCACTGATTGTTAGGTTAAATTCTCAAGTGCTATCTCATAGTTACTATAATTTAATTGTATCTTTAAAATTAAGTACCCTGTGCCAGTATTGTAGCCATTACTGTTATGATAACAGCCTTTTTAGTGGGGAAATTTGTAGGCTTGTGTTTGAATGGAATGTTAGGTTTTAACTGACTTCCACAAAGATGATCTGCAGCTTTTCCTTTATTACACTTGTCAGTGTTCTGCCAACACTGCAAGGATATTTGTAGTCCAATTTCTGCATTCTATCAACTAAAGAAAGGACAGAAGGTTTTGTCCAAATAATCCTGAGATAAAAGGCTCAGTAGTCATGAAAAGCAGTCCTGCAGAGGCTTTTAGTGGCCATTTGAATGCATTTGAATACACTGAATAAACCTTCCCTGAGTTCTGAGAGAATGGTACCTCTGTAGTGAGGCTCAAATCATATGCTGCCTTCCATGAACTTTTTGGTATTGCCCAACTTCAGGACTGATGGCAAACTTGTCATTTGTGGATAGATGGTGAACTTTACTCAAAGGGGATGGATGGATGGATGGATGGATGGATGGATGGATGGATGGATGGATGGATGGATGGATGGATGGATGGATGGATGTCATTGAGCAGTTCTGTTCTGAAGCAGCCCATTAGCATCCTTAGAACCATCTCTGCAGCAGAGGAGTGACCAGTATGCCATGGTTTTCAGTTCCATTCACTTCTGTTGCTTTTGGACATCGTGAATGAGCTCATTTTGCAGGTGCTCCCTTCTGCTTGCAGTTATTATAATATAAAATAGGGTTTTAAGCATAAAACTCTAGAAACATGAGTTTAGAGTATTTTTATGACAACTGGCTGACAATTTACAGCAGGCCTAAGGGTTCTGGTAGTTTTCTGGGTTCTAAGTAGGCAACAAAGTAGAGGATGGTGATTTTTCTAGGCTGATTATGTCTGGATCTCATAATCTTTATTTCATATGTATTTACTGAGGAAAAAGACTGAACGCCACTTTAAAAAATAATCCTATTAATATATTTGCTGTAAAATGGATCTGCTTATTAATGATTATATTGTGTGTACACCTATCTATCTGAAATTCAATTTACTTGCATGTTGAAGGACAGCATCTCCTTTGTTTGCTCTTATAATTAGATATAATTTTAGACCATTTTTCAAGCATTGCAAATTTGGTGTGTTTACTCTGGAACTTTTTAACTTTTTGCTTTGGCTGTAAGAGATCTTAAACAGACATTATATATGTTACTACCACATTTGATAATTAAATTAATCTTCAGAATTATAGCAACTTGATATACATTTCTAATGCCTGTTCAAACTTTATCAACCCCATATTTACAGAGAGTGATAAGCCACGGACAGGAACAGGTGAACCAGTTTTAAGTTTGCACTACAGTACAGAAGGAACTACTACAAGCACAATAAAATTGGACTTCACTGATGAGTGGTAAGAACAAGTTAATTTTGGTTTTAACTAGTTCATGATCAGCACATATCAATAACACTTGTCTAGCATAGCTATAAATTATTTTCCTTGTGGCTTGTGTCTATTTTTAGGTTTATCTACACAATTTGAAATGGCTGTAGTTGTTAATGCATTCAGAACATAAGATAGACATGCTTTAATGTGAAATTTGTACAAGAGACTTCTTTTTTGTGTATTTACTGTGAATCTCTACAATGCAAACATAATTTGAAACATGCTATTTTCATCAAACCCTGGCATAATATCAAGGTGTTATAAAGCAGGGTAGTACAGGGATGGAATGGTAGTCCAGGCACTACCAAACTTCTCATATGGTATTCATCAAATGAGTCTCTGTGACTCAGTTCCTGAGTTGTAAACACTGAAATTAATATTTCTGTGTCTAAGGAGTGTTGATGAATGCATAAGGCTGAGATAGCAACTTTGTGGACTGCTTAAGTGTTGCAGTGGTGACATCCTTTTCAAATAAGGAACACACACTGCCTGTACTTGGCTTTGTGTCCAAGGCTATCAGTAGAGCATCTTGGGATCTCCCAGAACAACCATCATCCTTATTTTATCTCACCTTATTTCTATTCCTCTGCTTATGTTTTCAAAATTATTGTAGGAGGCAGTAAGGAGAAATGCTTGATCATTCTTACTGAGGGAGAAAAAAGCCACAAAACTCAGTCACATTTAGCCACTCTTAAGTGCTATGGCTTTAGACACAAAGCATACACCTTGCCCACAGTTTGTATACTTAAAACAATGATTTTGCCTCTAAGATCCAGCAAACTTTGAAAAAATTAGTTTTGTTATGATGCTTTCACCTAATTCTGCAGTTAGTCAGCAAATTCTATGAAGTTTGGTGGTGGATAGTGTGATGTGGGCAGTGAGGGGAAGAAGCATTTTCTGGTAGGACAAAGTTGCAAGTCATTGTCAGTTCAGAGGCTGACTAAAAACATTGTGCTGAAGAATGGAGCAACAGGAGCAAGATGCAGTTCTGCAATTCCATCTGACAAAATGATGCAGTTGAGAACAAATGACAGCCTCCTAATCTGAGAATTGGAAGTTGTGAAAATGAAATAGAGGAAGACATATAAATGGAGCATTGAGCTACAAAGTGGATTCCTAAGAGTCAAAAAAGTATTTTACTGTTTAGGCTGTGATTAAGTTTATAAAACGAGACATGAAATAGCAAAAATCCTCCACTTGGTGTTTAGCAGCACCCTTCTTGTCTGGCTCTTCAGAAACAATGCTGAAAATTCTGGATTTAGAAGAAATACTGAAAGGGCTGACAAAAATTTTCCTACAGCCTCCAAATCCAGAATATTGTTCATCAAGAGGAGTAAAAGCTCTGATTTCACATAAGACACAAAATTCCTGAAGTCTGGAATGGATTCTCAAGAATCTCGACTAAGCCTGATCTGTGCTGCTTCTAGCAATGTAGCATATTGAATATTTGCTAATAACAAACACAGGTCAGAAGATATTTATAAAGAGACAGTCTAAATTCTTGAGAATCATGCTTATGATTCTCTTATTCAATTGCCTTTTTTTTCTGCTTTTGTCCAATGATTTGCCTGAGTTTTTGGCCACCTCACACAAGAGAGCTCACCAACAAGACTGCATTTCCTGAAAGTCTTTGCTAGAGAGTCTAAAAACATGAATTTCAATGACATTCAGGACAGCATTTTCCATATTGTAAAGAGAAATTGGTGTCTTACAATATTTACCTAAACATGAATGGGAAGTACATGTCAAATACCAGCTCATAGTGAATCTTGAGAAATAACAAAACTTTGAGAACTGAAAGTCCATAGCTCAAAAGGTACAGGAATGAAAATTAGTGGAGAAGGACCTGGAGACTTTTATCTGAATTAAATTTTTTAATTGAATGGGATAACATTATTTATTAGTGCTCAGTTACTAGCTTGTCATTCCTCTAAGAAGATCTCTGATTATTTATACATCTAAAAAGTGTGCAAATAGTGAAATAAAGCAAATCCCTTGGAGTTCTTACAATATTTGGAAAAGCAATGATGACATTCTTTAAATGTAAAAAAAGAAGATAGGAAGGAGAGAACAGGGTTCTGTGATGCAGAGGAATTGTGTGGGTTGAGTGCAGACACAATAAAAGAGAATTTTGAAATTGCTGTAATTGGTTGTAGCTGCTGCCAGGAGCTCTCACTGGACTGCAGTGAGATAGATGATGTTGGTCAGGCTGTGCTTTTGCAGTGGTCTTATGTGTTTACATGATCCTAAATGATTTTCTTTTTCCATGTTACGTTGCCAGGAGCATCACAAATTCAAGCTCAAGAGGGAGTGGAAGTCACTGCAAAACTGAAGGCCAAGAGGACTCTGTTAAAACAAAAGCTTTGGATGAGTCAGGGCCTGATGAGGAAGAAACAAGTAAGATATATTGGAATTTCTAATGCCAAGGCAAAAATTCTGCCCTCCTATATCCCTGACTCCCATTGCACACACTAGGAATCTCACACATGCACATGAAGGCAAAACACAACACAACACAAGCATGATTTTTTTTAGGAAAGAAAACACCAAGCTGAGATAGCTGCAAATAAATATAAAAATTTATTTATCTTGTCTTTAGTTCTAAAAACATTGTTCTTCTTAGGGGCGTATTGTGACCCAATTTGTACAGAAAAATAGAACAACTGCACTTTGCAGTCATAAATGAGTGCTTGGAATTTTGTTACATTTCTTTCAGGCTTTCACTGTGTTTTATTAAATGTGTTTGTTTTGCTCAGTTCATTGCCAAAAGGGCAGTGAAGTCAAATGACTGGTTCCAGAGAAATACTAAAAAAAAAAATAAAATAAACCCCCCCCACCTTTTAATAGACTGATAACTTAATTTGTCTTCAGAAATAATAATGTCTGTATTAAGAGTACAAATGCTATTTTTGCTGCTCAAGTTCTCATAGCATAGGCTGTAAATACATGAAGGAACAAGAAATGACTACATTTTTCTTTGTTAGTGTGTTGACCTGGTCAACTAGATAGGTTTATATATACTGATTTTTATGTGACTGATACCTGAGATTTCAGTAGAGACAATGACTTTGGAGTGGATTGCTTGGATTGGTTTCTTCTAGGAGTGCTGGTGTCATTTAGACTTGCTTACATTATAGATGTGCATCTAAATGAAATCATATGATTTAGTATTAAATTGCTTAATTTAGGGATTCCTGATGAATCTCTCAAGGAAGATGCAAGTGCTGAACAGCTGAAAAATACAGATGAAGCTGTAGAGACAAGAGAAGCAGGTATGTATCTGTACTCATTCTCTATTTCTTCCTATAACTAATAACCTATAGCTTAACCTCGCTGACCATTTCTAAAATAGACTATAATCATTAATGACGTGACTTGTTTTCCCCAATATTTGCTTTTTTAGCAGTATCAGATAAACCTGCTCCTGAGCACTCAGGAACTGAAGCAGAAGCAGATGTCCCCAGTGCTGATGCTGTGTCTGGGCACGCAGAGGAAGGAGCCTGCTGTGAGAAGGGCGCAGACCAAGAGCCCTGCGGTGACCCCAGTGCCGGGGGGCTGCTGGCCAGCCAGGAGCCTCCATCCCAGCCCCAATCCTCGGGGATGGCGCCTCCGGACGAGGCCTCGGCCCGGACCTCGGCTCTGCAGGAAACCGACGACAGCGACGACGACCCCGTCCTCATCCCGGGGGCCAGGTACCGAGGAGGCCCCGGACACAGGTGAGGGGAGCACCCGGCTCTGCTTGCCAAAAGGCTTTTTTTTTTTTTTTTTTCTGTTTATTTCTTTGAATGAAAGATCAAGAAACTCAGGCCTCATATGCTTAGAGTGAGTTGTTCTTTGCCAACTGGCCGAGAGCTCGATGGCTGAGTCTAATTTGTGTGTGTGTGACACATGTACAGCTGCATTTTCCCTGCAAGCCAGGAAGGCTCTTGCAGATCTAATACCTGTTTATGCTGATCTCTTGCCTGCTCAATACCTCGGTGCTAAATATTTGCAGTTTATTTTTTATTATTCTCCCTCTAGTCATAAGTGTAGAAAGCATGAATTTGGGTACAGGGACCTACATTTTATTTCAGCTGTACCTTAGGTGTTCTTATATTGGTAAAGCAAGAGCTTTTAATTGCTGTTGTGCAGCAATGGGGTGTTTGTAGTACATATATTAAAACTGATGTGTTCAATTTCTCATTCTTCTTTTTCTCTGAAAGAGAAACTGTAATCCTTTTCCTTTTGTTGCTTATTAAATATTGCTATGTATGTCAGTAAAAAAATAGGTAGACTGCTAGCTGTTACCATTGCTAAAAGATGCATTTAGTAAACTTCGTGCTTTTTTTATATGAAGAGCTGCACATATTTGTTTGATCATTCAGTAAACTGAACCCTCAATTTGCTATTGTTGGTTTAATACCTTTGTTCACTAATTTCATAACTATAAAATTATTTAAGCAACATTTCTGTTGTTACACTTCAGACAATACCTTTTTTGCTAGCTTTAGATATAATTTAACCTCATTTCAGATATCTTTGCATTACTACTGTTAAAAGACACTGCTATTAATTTCTTATGCTAGCAATGGAAATTCTTCACAGGAATTTACAATATGTATTCATTAGGAAATCATGAAGAATTTAATAGTTGTTTCTAGAGAAGGTTTTGAATAATTTGCAGTTCAAATAGAAATCGTAAGCCACCACATTGTCAGCAGTGACAAAAAGAGCAGTCAGTGGTTGTTTATTATAAAGCACAAGTAATTCTGCTCGCTAGATGACAGTTTTTATGAGGAAGCCAATATACACAGATTCTGTCTTAATCCATTAACTTTCCATGCAGTACTAAGAATTTGTAGGCATATATGGAATGGCAGAAATATTTTCCCCTGCAGAGCCAATGTTCATTATGATCCAGTGATTGAAGAGTAAGCTGTGAAAAGCCCTGCAATTTTAATCCCATCTCCATTTTCAAGCAGGATTCATAGCTTCTCTTCATGCATCATGTTGTCTCCACGATGTAATAGTTTCTGTAGCAATGTGATAAGAATGACACTTCCAGGTATCACACAGCTGTTACCATTTCCCACATCCTAAATGAAGTTACAATTTATCTGACATGCTTTCTTTCCTCTCTGTGCAGTGAGATTTCTTCCTGTAACAGTTTGAATTTATCACCTAGGAAAGATCACTTAGCTAAATGATATAATTAAAATCCTTTATGCAGGTTCCCTGCTCCCTTACTCTTCCCCAAAATAAAATCTGAAAAAAGTTGCTTTGTAGTTAGTGCTGGTTTAGGATTTCCTGCAGGCTTTCATTGCTCAGGTTTAATGCCTGACCAGATCATTTTGTTCTGCTTTTGTGTGTGTGCAAGCAGTGAAGCTTTCCAGTTCAACTTCTGAGCATTACATTCCCTCCTGTTCTTCAAGTTTCAGGAGTTTCCAAATGCACTCTGAGATACTAAGGAAAAATCAGACATTCTGTGTGTGCTCAAAGGAATTTGGATTTCCAGAAAGAAAGCAGACACTGATGGTCTTAAAGGCTACAGCTCTAAGCCCTCTCAGTATTTATATCTCATATTAGAGTGAAAGAACTGGAAGTCCTCTCTACTAGTACTATGGCAGTTATAGCCTAAAATCCCTTTCACAAACTGATCAAATTTATATAAAATCCTCCATGTCCTTTAATGAGTAGGAAGCTAACTCAAAGCATTGCTACTACCTTGGGTATACAAAAATTGGTAATTACTAAAATTGGTAATTTTGTTCTGTGCTAACATTCTGTTTTGACTGAAATAATATTTCACACTCTGTGCTCATCATTGAATGATGTTCATCCTGTCCATTTTCAAGTTTTGTCTCCTTAGACTGACTGCCAAGTTTTTCTCACTCTTAGCAGCAAAAATTGATGGGTTTCCTGCCATCCTGCTGGTTTCTGTCTCCTCTTCATGTTTCACTTCTTGCCTGAATGTGGTAGCCCAGCCCCCTGCACTGTTTGGGTTTTTCTGGAATAATTCTGTGGTTGTTACTCTTGGTCTAGAGAGGATTCTCTGAGCACAGTGAGCTGGAGCTGTGCCCTCCTGCTCTCTTGCATGGGGCTGTTCCAGTGGGGTCTCATGGCCAGACACAAGCCCAGCACCCTGCACTCCCTCTTGCTTTGTCATTCCTAATTAACGAGCGCTCCCTTTCACCAGAAGGAAGCTCAGAGAAGTATAACTCAATTTTATACTGCTGATTTTCTCAAGGCCCTACAGTCCCCTCTCTATTAATAAGTTCCCCACCCTCAATGTGCTGCATGATTCCCATCCTATGCCCTGCTCAAGGGCCATTAGCAATATATGGCACAAAATTGCCTGAAAGTCTGGGATTCCATTCCACCAGGATGCTTTCTGTAGGCTTCTTTTCTTTTTCTTCACTCAGTAAGTTGTGTTACCTAACAATTCCTTTACTAAATCTCATTTTTTCAAGTTTATCTAATACTTGACTTTCCATTGTGTCATCTGATAATTAATGGCATTAATATCTGAGTAATAGATTTTTTTTCTCTGTAGAATACTTAAAGGGAGCTGCTTTGGTCTTTTTTTTTTTTTTTTTTTTTTGTGGGTTTGGTTTGGTTTTGTTGTGGATTTTTTTTTTTCTGAAGAATAAAGACTAGCCTGCAATAATCTACCTTTTGTGAACATATTCTATGTCATGAAGGAAAAAAGTTTCATTTTTCTATAGGACAAAAATTTTTTTAAAAGGCTGTTGTAGCCTTCTGAAACAGAATGCTAAAAACTATTTGCCTAATAAGCCATTTCCAATATGTCACACTACTGGCTTTGTTTGCAATCAATTTCTTTTTCTTTAGGCTGTGTTTTCTTATAAACCAAATAGCTCTTGTTTACACTGAGCAGAAACTCTGCAGGTGGAGAAATTCAGATAAAGGAAACTGTCTCAGAGTCATTTTCCCACTCTGAAGTACAGCTTTCTCCACTGAAAAAGAAGGGTAGATTTCTGATTCTGTACTCTGAAATCACGATCTACAGCTTTCTCTTAAGGAAAAAAAAGTGGCAGAAATACTCTTCTGATAGCTTTGTTAAACAGAGCTCTAAATAGTGAACATCCTGCTGCATCTCTTATTTTTAGTAAGATGGATGTAGATTTCAGATATGTGAATAAATATTTTTTATTTTTCAAATTAATCACTTTTAAAATATAATCATTATTTGAATATTCTTTGGGTGCAAATCCAAGTTGTAATATTTTCAAGCTGAGGGATTGATCTTTTTCTCAAATAATCTAAGAATAGATACAAGGGACATAATCTCATATTGTGGATGCTTGCAAATCTCAAAACATAATGAGGATAGGTGGTTTCTCACCAACTAACCTGAAACTGAGCTATCAGGAAGGACTGGGCAAAGTTTGCACCTGCTTTAATATTTTGAAAAGGACTTTAAATAGTGACAGCAAAATGTGGAGAAATAGCATGATACTTTGGTTGATTGGTTAAGTCAGCTGCATTTGGTAGAAGTTAGCTAGGCAGGCTTTTGACACTGAAGGACATTTATTTAAAATAAATAATTGAGAATGTGATATCTGACCTTTTTCAGCAGCATTTCTGTAGCCACTGAGCATCACTATAGGAATGGTCTTCACAAGTGACTAAAAGAAGCTAAGCAGTTATTTCATTTTTTCTTGTTGTTGGGCCTGTCAATGCATGTTCTTTTTAATAAAATGGATAAGGAAGTGCACAGAATATTTTAAAATCAAAGAAAAAATTAAAACCTCTTCTGAACAGCAGAGCAGTTTAGCTAGATACTCACCAGAGAATAAAACTTCCTGTGAATTTTAGGGAATCCCTAGGAAAAGATGCCTTCTCTGACAAATAAAACAACACGTGCAGTTCTTTCACTCTGGACATATGCAAGGGCATTTCTTCTTAAAAACTTTTTGGGTCCAGCAAGTTTAATTCAAACAGAGGGTTGTACCTTGTAATCTGTGGGAGGGGGGAAAAAACATCTATGCAAAATGTTCTTCATACACAGAGAGCACAGTTTTTAATTGATTGATCTTAATTTTCACAAATTAGTCAAAACAGTTCTCTGAGGGCTGATTTCCTACTTAAATGACTGAATTAATTTTGTTTGGACTTTGAAGTTGATCTGGGGGTGGAGACTAAGCCTGGAAAAAGCTATAACTAGTAGGTTAAAATCGAAAGAAATATGATGTAAAAGGGAAATGATGATAGAGCTGCTGTGATCTATGAAGAATTGCTGCATTTTATAACTTAACTTTGTGTACTGTTATATAATCTGAATACTATTTTTGCTGAAATCCAAGTAGTCTCATGTACTGACTCATACTCTGGGAAGGAGCCTTCTCAGTTAGAATTCATAGAGCACATTTTGTAAGAGATGCTAACCTTTGAAAAACATGGTACCCAGCATTTGTGAATGACTTCAGTTGTTATTCCCTTTACTAGATATAATATCAGAGGAACAGCGATAGGTGATAGAATAATGAGGTAATTAATTATTTTATTCCTCCCCTCCTCCTTTTTATTGCCGTATATTGGATTTATCAGGTTCTTGTTTTTCATATCTAACTGGCTTTTTAAGAATTGCTGTACTTCAAATGCTATGAATTACAGAGCATATTGCTTGAGTTATATTTAGCTGCATGTGTTGCATGGAAATTGAAAAGAAATGGCAGTGTATACGTTTTACAACCTATTAACATTTTTATCGTGT